TTGTTTTTTCTCCTTTCCATTTTGGAACAAAATAAACCTTAACACCCCTTTTAAATTATAAGGTGAAATAAACATTTGGTCAATATTAATAATGGTGAAAATTTCAAAGTTCAATTCATAGATTGTAAAAACCAAAGGTTAATTGATTATTCAAAAGAGCATAACTTTTTATGCGTTGAACCAAGAACTTTCTCCATGTAAAATTAAAGATTAAACTAACAAGTGTATGTATTGGGTGAGAATGATTAGAGCATTTTGTTATAAAGTAATCTGGGTCGATCAATTTTAGATCTTTTTATAAACTCGAACTAATTTATTCAATGTATTGCTTTGTATTGATAGATCGATGAAAAGGTGAGTTATCAAAATAGAGACAATAAATAGGAATAGAATATACAAAATAGAAATAATTGGCATTATCATCACTAATCATCACCTTCAACTGAGTTTATGTTCTAAATTAGATGTAAATTTGTATAAATGGATGGCCTACAAATAACTAACAATGGATAAAATTCATCAGCATGCTAGAAAATTAGGAAATACTCGCAATGAGTAGAGATATAAAAAATTGAAAAATGACAAAGTTCAGAATATTTTCTGAACATCATTTGAAATTAATATTTATGTGCGCAATAAATGCAGAAAAAAACTGATTACTAATGCTAGTTAAGTTTTCGAAGTATTTAGTAGGCTCAAATTTCGTGGGAAAGTAGATAAATCGATTATTTAACAAAATGAAAGAGTAAGCATGACTGATTAATTGATGAATTGTGCTCAATCAAAACTCGTCTCAAGAATATATTATGCAATTTGCACTCTAATCATTTTGATTTCATAGTAACGTTTCATTCATAAAATGGGAAAGATAGCAATATATTGATCTCGAAAAATGGTTTCGATATGACTGAAGAGCTAGTCAATGAAAAAATAATGATAAAAATTATCTTCTACAACTAATTAATAATAAAAACTATGATTTTCAGATTGGACTTTTTAGATAAGTTAAAACAAAAGAATCACTAGACTTAATTTTATAAACCTCATGATTACTCAACGCTTTCCTTTCGAACAAGTGTGAAACTTTGATTAATAATAAGCATACAAATCCAAACTCACTCTATTCAATTTGATGAGCACACAAGGTTTACCGTCACGATAACCAAAGGAATTAGCTGGGGAGCATGGTGAGCCAATGTCCCGAACATTGAAAGCGCAAAACTGATCATCTGATGATATTTGGTTTTTTTCGCAATCAATTGCAAGCGATGCTCCACCGCTATCAGATGCATTCTGACCTGTAAAGAAAAAGACAGAAAATCAGATGCATTCTAGATAAAAGCAAATATGTTGTACTAACCGTGGACAAATTGAGTCAAATCCTCAACCCAGTGTTTGTAACTTTTCTCGTTATTCCTTCGGAATCTAATCAAAGTACTTTCTAGTCTTTCTCGTGGTGGACGAGGTCTGTATCCAAGACCTAAATGCAATTAAATTGCATCGAGAAGATCAGTGAGACATGAAAAGAATAAAAATATTCATTAGAGTATTGATTAGTTATTTTGAGATAGTCGTTAGAACTTAGAATGGGTTCACTGACTACCCTTCAAAATGGTGTCTCTTTTTAATATTAAACCGCTTAGATTATAATTCAATAGGTGCAAAAGGACATACCGGGATTGGATCCGATCCGGCTTTCATCTAATTTCCATTTAGGGTGTTTATCATCGATTGTAGTCCTAAAAATCAATAACATAATAGACCAGAAAGCAGCCAAGCAAATGTAGAAAATGACATAGAAAACAAAAATTTTTCCTGAAATGAACAAGATAAATTGAGGTAAGACAAATGTATTGCAAAAATATGTTTGAATATTGACAATTGTACAATCTTCAGGTGTAAATGAATAAAGTGTACTATCGGTAAATAAATAGACCAATTAAAAGGGAGGTAAACATCAAAACAGAAGATAAACACTGTATCATCAATGAGAAACTGAACAGAATGCTAATCAAAGAAGTTTTTAGATTAGATCCGTGTATTTAGTTTAATTTATCAATCCAATAATACTATAATCTTTGACAAATATGTCCGCTTACCCCAAGATGAAGCTGTGCGACCACAAAATTCTTTCCGCCAAGGATTCCAAAGGAATGTAGCAAAACTATTTTTCATCTCCTCTTGCTTGGGAGGTGATTTTTCCTTTGTATCATTCATCTCGACCAATAATAAGATAATCCACCGATTATTAAATAATCAAAAAACTAATCACAATTATCAGTCAAGTTAACTAAAAACACAACTGAACACAGCAGTTAGATCGAGCCAAAGTAAGAAGATAAAATAATTAAATCAGAGTGAGCAAAGTGAGAGACAGCAAAAAGACACAATGAGAAAACTGTAGAAAGAGGAAAAATTTATATTTAATAGAAAGATAAAAAGAAAGGAATAAAACAAAATTAGACACCAGTAAAGACAGTAACAGAAAGAAAGATGGAAATGTAGAAAGAGGAAGGGCATTGAAAGGTCATATTAATAATAATAAAATTCGTCAGATGGAGACACAGAATAAGACAAAAATTAAATTTTCATTTTGATTCTTTTTAATTGCTTGAGCCATTTTAACCGTTCATCAAGTATTAATTGAAGTCTAATATTACCAGTGTTTCATGACAATGAGCATCAAAAGTTTTGGAATGATTAAAAGCATCGAAATTTCGTAAATATTGAAAAACGTTCAACCCATTGAATAAAATTATCATTGGACATCAAAAGATTTGTGTTTACATTTCAATCCTCGGATTATCATAAATTCTGAAATTCTCAATCTTCTGAGATCAATGAAAGAAATTTTTTCCATCTTTTAGAACCTGTTGTTGACCAGAACTTGAAACTTGCCGATTTTGTCTTTAACCTAAAAATATTCGAGTCAAAAAGTAGATTTAAGTATCGATATTATCTGATAAATACTCTACTGGATACTATCGAGTCTGGTTCTCTAAAATTCATCAAGTGCCATCTAGGGAAGAGGAAATAACATTGCAAGTTCTGGAAAAATTATGAGATTTTGGAAAATTATTTTTACAATTTACTTTTGTTTACTTTATGTCCAGTTATTTCAACTTTAATTATAATTTATATTGTAAAGTATGATAACTGATTCTTGCATGGAAAGCATTTCATCTCAAGACTATTAAGTTGCCATCTTGCTCATCAATAAACTGGATTAGTCGTGTTTTTGGATTCCATTTTTTTCGATCTAAATATCATCAGGCAAAAGGTTTTCCTCCCTGATGCTGATGATAATGATAGTTTTGGCGTGTGGGTGAGCAGCATCAGTTGCACCTGTCCAGAGAGAAAGAGAGAGAAAGAGAAACAAAAGTAACTTTAAAATTAAAAAGTAAACTGGATCCAAACTAAAGGTGGCGTTTAGTCAAACAGAAACCATAAACAAAACTTGGAAGCTGTTTGTTCAACTTCTCTGCTTCACAGTTATGAATAACATTGTGAGAAACGGATCAACTTCCCAATTTATTGAAACTTTTTCTATTCATCATCTCTTTTATCATGTAATTGAATGTTAATTTATTGATTATATTGTGACAATTGGACGATTTGCTGCTTAACAAATCTAGACAAAGGTATTTACTAAACGCCATCTTTAGTCGAATGAAGTCATATTTTTCTTTTATTAAAAGTGTACAACTTTATCTTAATTTTTGTTTCTCTTGCACCTGCCATTGTCTTCAATGCAACTTACATATTGATTCAAACTTTGCTATTTTGTGTTCATCTTGTAATGTAAATGTTTCTTGTTGAGGCACAAACAAAATCGTGCTAAAGACAATACGCTTAATTCACTTTCAATTTCCCCCTCTCATCATCGTCTTTTCCCTCTGCTTTTTCTCTCACCAACTCACTATCTTCTCATCCTCTCATCATCATTATATCCTTGCTCTGAACTTGCAATCGGATAATATCAAGTGGCCTAGGGTCGGGTTACTTACTCACTCCGTGACTCTTCTTTCTTTACTTTTTTCCATCTTCTATTGCTTTTTTTCCTTGATCTGTGTTGTGTTTTTTTTGTTGCTGTTTTGCTTCCTTACCTGTTATCTTTTAACTTTATAATGGTGTTTCATAGTTGAGATTGAAAATTGAGAAAAACAAATTCTTCTCTATCAAAATATGGAAACAATGAAAACGGATTTACCAATGGGATCAACTCTTGACTCAACTCGATTCAATGTGAGGTACATTCAAAGGGAAAGAAATGGATTATCCATAATTCAGTTTCCATTTTATTCAGGTCTGTAACTTTAACCTTTGTCTCATCAAACTGGTGACAATACTTACAGAGTCTCGATTATTTAATAAAACCAAAACTGTCAAAACTGTATTAGTTTCCAATAAATTTGTTAATGTGTCAACTGCAATGGTCAAGATGTAAGCCAGCTTTACATAATCCAAATCTGTGAATGTGACTCAATCAGTAATTGAAAAATATTTTAACGGATTTTTGTGCAAGATGACTCAACATAACTCAGAGATTATCTTTTTGGTTAATCCATTATTTTCAATTTTGTTGACACTCTCAACTCTAAATTGTGACCCATTACTGTCAAATGTGGGAAAGTAAACCATTTTTTAACTAAACATTGGCAGTGCAATTCAAACAATTTTGATGAATAATTAACTTGACGTTATAAACAAAAAGCATCGTCAGCCATTTTTTCATCTTTCATATTCTTTTGTTATAACAATTGAAATAAGAACAGCAAGAGTAACTCTTTTTTTTGTTTATTAATATTTATCTATGCTGATGTTCACGCCTTACACAGACAATTTGATTGATTGACTGACAATGATCCTGATGATATGTGAAGCCCAAATACAATTGTTAAATTACAATTTAAATTGTTTAGGTGTGTCGCTTATTGATCATATTTATATGTTTCATGTTGTATTTTACTTGTGCTATAACAATGTATTTAAACTATGTTAATTGCTTGTTTAACATGTCTGATTGAGTATAAAATACGAGACATTGAAATGTAAATTTACCAAAAAATGGTTTGTTGCTGAACAAGAAAAGTTAATTAAATTTAAACATTCAAGTCTCATCATCAACCTTCATACATTTAATTGAATAACATGTAATTGTAAACAAACAATCAAGCCCTTTTCAACTGTAAATCAAGTCTGGTCAAGTGTTAACTCAATCTATCATCAAGTACATTAATCATATTGATCTTATTGCTTCTAATTAGATGTTCACCCAATTGTAATCAACTTTTTTTTCCAATTATGAAAGTAATTAAACTCCAATTACGGATGTTAACCATGTAATTGTGTATACTTTGAACAAACCAATCAGCCAACTATTTAACACATTTTTATTGATTATCATCAAAAAGGTGTTAATAGATCTTTAATAGTTGACTGAATTGACTTTTTTCACCTTTTATTAACAGAAAACCCAAAGTTGAACCCAATTTTGTAAAACCAAAACCCAAACCTAATCAACAGATTGATTTGATCTTTTTTTCAATGATCATTGGATATATTGATGGATTGATTTATTGAAATTATTCCTCTTTTGATTTACCTTTCTATTGTTCAACTTTAAACAAGTTTAACCACACAATTGATTATTACTATTATTATTATAACAATCAACTATCTAAGCCATGTAAACTTGAAAAGGGCTGTTAGGTCAAGAACCTGATTGGGCTTGAACGTATTTACATTTTGCAGTTTTGTGATTACTCTCAATTTACCTCTAATTTCATCTAACCTTTAACCAACATGTTCATGATTAAAGGCATCATGAAAATAATTTAGTTAAATTTGAAATTAATTACAACAATGTAAAGTTAGATGTTGATTCATAGTATAAAAACACCTTTAACCAATGTTGAATAGGGCGATATGAACGTTACAGCAAAAGGTTCACTTTTAATCAAATGATGAAAATTTGCCTCCAAATTATGAATCCGATTGTTAACCATTTTTTGTTACATAATCCTGTTGTTGAAACCTTTTTTTGGCAACCAAAAGTGGTTCCACTCCACCCTGGTTCAAGTTAATAGTCATTAGATTCTTACGCTTCTCACAATCATCAACATCACAATGATCCTAAATTACTGCAATGATTCTAACCATTATATCATTATGACGATCATTTTTGTCAAAAAAAGACTCTGCACAAACTCAGGTTTTATTATACATTCACAATACGATTTGAGAATCGATTTGTAGTTAAATTTTGTTCATTATTTCTGACAATTTCTTGCAATTAGATAGACTCTGTAACTATCTATATTCCTGGTAAACTTATAATTGTAATTGAATGATCTATAGATTTTTTACACTTCTAAATTGTTAAACTTGGCCTCATGAAACAAATTTCATTTGAACCTGGCCTTTAGATACAACTTGAGAAAAGTGAAAAAAATTCAACTTAAATCAAGTGAAAACTTGTTTTTCAATGTGATGTACTTTCATTTTACTTTACACTTCAAACAATGTAAATATCATTCTGTAGGAAATTACCTTTTCATGTGTATCGATTCATAACCATCTCACTCTCACTCCATCTTCATCTCCTCCTCTTCCTCCTCATCATTTATTTTTTGGCCTTTCTCTGGATTTATAAACTTGAATTACTAGGTTCTTTTTGTTTGTTTTCAACTAAAAAACATTTAATTGGAGCTTTATGTTGATGATTCGTTATGGGCCGTTGAACTGGCAATCGCGACCTATCAAGACACAAAAAAAAACAAAAAAAGTAAGGTCAGTAAAAAGCGTAAATTTAGCAGAAGATACAAGTCTAATAGTCGAGTAGTCGGGGCGGAATCTGTGGCAGTTACCTTGATTAGTAGTTAATGTTTAGACTCAAGAGGTGACAATTCATTTGTTGGCCATCAGAGATGTCATTAAGCAATGGAAGCGAGGAAAATATTTTTGTCAAAACAATTCTCAGTTCATCATCTTAAAGACTTGAAATTGGCAAAATTGACCTCAAATAGAGTGCAGAGAAAGATGACTTTTGGAGGTTATCATCCGGTTAACATCTCAAGTTACAGAGGGAAAAAAGGATGAGGAAGGAAAAAAATGGTAAAGATGATCATCGTAATCTTTTGCAAGAGACTTCATCTTGAGCTGTTGAAGCTGTGCGAACTTGTCCAAAGTTTGTTGTTGTTCCCATCACCAAATGAGCTGAAAAGATGAGAAACAGTTATGCATTGAACTTAACACGGATAAAAAAGCCTAAAATAAAAACAAACAAGTGATGTTGAATGGGAAAAGATTATGAAGGAGGAAAACCTACCAAACAAAAAAGTATGGGTGCGATCAAATTTTGTCTTGAAAATGACCCTCTCATCCTATTCACTTGTTTTCATCATCTTCTTCTTATTCTTTACCCAACTTTATCATCTTTTTTTTGTCCAATAATTTGTTTCCTTTCATCATTTTGCCATCAATTCAGCATAATCATCTTCAATACAACCAGAAACGTGAATCAATCTAAGAAAATTAAATTCAACTTGAAGGACTATTTAATCATAACTTTTCCCTTTTCCATTCATGTTATTGGTATCAATAAATACGGTATTATGTTATTAATGATACCGGCAAAAGTGCCAATAATAGAGTGCGGCTTCAAATGGGAACATTAATCCACCCAAAGATTTATCATCATCATCATTTTCATTTCAACCTCCAACATAATAAGGTTTCCCTCAATTTTTTTCACTGCCATTATGATCAACTTTAGCCATCTAGTTGTTAGTATTTTTATCATGTCATCAAGTTTAGGTTGATTACCATTAACACCAAAGGAAAACACTTGATGATGATGATGATGATTACCAACAGTCTAATTTGAGGTATGATTTAAATAGATCGAGATCATTATTAGCCAACCTGAAAACTCGTCTTTTTCACTATTAATATGTACTAGAGATGGAAACGGTGAAACCATTAAATAGCATTGCCTACGCCATCATTTTTGGTGTCCTCAGCGTTCCAATTATTACAGAACCAGCAATTCAAATGTGATTATCTTCCTCCTCTTTCCTGGTTTGAATCAGAATATCTAAAAGACTAAAATCTTTCAGTCAAAATGGATTAAAATAAGACAAAAGATGATTAAGTATTAAGTTAGAAGTGCATCATCTTGATTTAGCATCTTTCTTCTTTTTCCCTTTTTTTCCCTTGAATTGAATTAAAACAACTTCATGGTTTATTCATGGTTTTTGTTTTGGTGTAAACAAAAATCTGAAAAGGTAAATCTGTGTGAAAGTTACTGGGCGTAAATTGTTTATTCTGGCTCTTCATTTTAATTCAAAGCGAGGGAAACAAAACTCAAGCTCATTCATTTCACGATTTTTTAGGCCTTTAATTCAATCTCTTTTTTTGTAAGTTACTTTTGATGATTCTTGATACTTAATAGATTGTATTCAATGATAATACTTGAATCCTTTGCTTTAATTGTTCTGTTTCTTGTTTTTGTTGGTGAATTTATTCAGGCTTGATTAAATGTTATTGTTTTAACTTTGGTGCCTTTCATCAATCCTCCAAAGGTCAAGTAATCATTGCTTCTTTATCCATTTCAAGATGACAACCTCCTTGATAAATAGCTAAATTGGGTAGAGAAAAAAAAACTTGTATTAGAAGAGGTTTTTTTGCAATTTTACATCTTGAGTCCATCATTGAGATGAAAGATTACAGGCTGAATTGAACAAGTAAAATCCACGATTATGCATATGATTTTGGCCCATTTACGCTGACAAGTGAGAGGAATGAGTAAATTGTTTGAAACAGTCAACAACTTTGGTGAATAATTAATTCAAGTTATATTTGAATTGATCTTTGTTTTTGTTCAACAATTGGAAGAGCAAACTCTTCTAACCTTCCATTTGTTTTACCGATGTTTACTTTTGATTGTATTTACGCCTTACACAGACAACTTGATTGATTGACTGATGATCCTGCAAAGTCAAAATAAACTGTTCAATTAGTTTGAATTGTTAAAGGTGGGTCTCACAGCAATTTAGTGTTTCAAAGTGTTCACATCAAGTGGTTAATCAAATAGACATTACATTACCAAAAAATGGGTTTACTAATTGATAATCATGATTGATTCAAAAGGATTAGAAACAATGAGGAGGATTTTCATTATACTTACAATATTTTGTGATAATGTTACTTGTTGATCACTGTTAATGTAGTTTTAAATTGTCAAACAAAACTGTTTGACTAACTATTTGTGCTAAGATGGCCAAGTAAGCATTTCAAACTCAATTGATCTTCTTGAGAAGGTTTGGTTGATTTGATTTAGATTTAGAAAATTGATTTAGATTGTTGATGCTTAATTTTAATGTATTTCTTCAAATATTGTGACAGTTTCAACCAATGTTATACATTAAAAAAGTGACTATCATTATTGATTATAAATCATACGAGTAGTAATAAATAAATAAATAAATAAATAAAACTGTAGGTTATAAAAATTACGAAGTTATAACGAAAAGGTAAAAAGATTTATAAATACAGACCTAAATGCTATTCTTCATGAGTTGGGTATTTTAGGTAAGGCTTGAATGTGTTGGACATCAACGCTGGATAGTCGTTTAACTTGGTTAAGGAATAAATGCCTAAGAAATTTAATCACTGATCGACGAATGGACTCGATACCACGGCATAATTTAAATTTGGAGCACAGGTTGTTGCCACTGGTCACTTTAACACCAAATGGTGATTCCAATGTTGAAATGAGCGTTTTAACTTTGTCAACATCAATTGTTAATCTTTCAAGTTGAATGTAATCATTTGGCAAAGATCTTTTTCTCCGTCTTCCAGCAAATGCTCCAATCAACACGGGAAGAGCTAACGGTATCAAACCAGACCCTGCAAATTCAAATTCAGAAAAATAAATCAGTATCTACTTGTAAAATGAACATGCAATAAAAATGATTAATAGATTTAGTAGTGGACTTACCTCCAAAGGGATCGTAACCTGAAACTGATAACAAAGCGGGAATAATGGTTAGACCATAAAGTAAAGCACTCAACATAAGAGTACTGAAACCAACTCGCCTGGCCAGAGGGTAAAGGATGATAGGTGCTCGAGCTGAGCTTTCACTTGAAAAAGGATGACTTATTGAGAGATCTTCTGATGTAATTGTTGTCTTATTGGGTTCCCGGGAAGATTGGAATGAGGAATCGGGTTCTTTCTCAGGCATAGCTGGATGTAAACCAAAGATTTCAGCAGAAACAATGGTACTTGCAGTTAAACAAAGATTAATGGTGTGAAAAAATAGAATATAAATATTAATAAATGGTAATAATTTAGATTTTCTGTGTTTTAACTTCAGATGGAGATGATGTTGATGATTAAGGTAATTCATTGTAAATAAGATAAACATCTAAACATGATGAAGTTCATGGTTAAAGTAAAAATAGAAAAGTTAAACTGATTTCAAAAGAACCGTTGTCAAGTTAAACAAAAATGAAGACAAAATGGAGACTTCCCTCCTTTTTGCTATCTTATCTCATTTTTTAATCTCTTTCTTTTTGTCTTTACAATCTTTAGCAACTTGAACCTTTTATTTTTCAAAGGTTGTCAAGGCTGAAAGGTCAGACGATACGGTAACTTAACGGTTAAATCTGAAGCTTCCGTACAGTTTGATTAATTTCAATTATTTGGTTATGATGAGGAAAACTTGAACACAAATAACCTTTTAAATAGTCACAATAGATTTTTGGATGAGAACTTTTTGCTTCTATTTATTTTTCAAGCAACAAACCATTAACCATGAGTTAAATTACAATTGCATGATCTTTAATTCAGTCAAGATTGAAATTATCACTGAACATAGTTCATGTTAAACCTGATGAAAAGGTGGAACCAGTGGAGATGAGTTTCCATGTAATGCAGCTATTTGTTAAGACAGCTCATATTGAGTTTTTCATCACAAAATACAAACAATCCCCACGATAATTGCTTTTAATAGTTTCCATTGAATCGTCTTCATGACAGTGATTAAATTTTTCAAAAAATGTGCGGCCAAAAATTAAATTGCTGCAATTTTCCGCTGAACTGTTTGATCAAGATTTTGCTGAATTAGTATATTGCCCACTCATCTGGCTAACAGACTATCACAGAAATTGATGTTATCAAAACTAAAATTGTCCCAACATATAATTGATAATTTGTTAATTTGAAAATTGTCATGTCTAATTGTTTCCTCTGCCACTAGAATTGAATATTCCCTGATTGTTGAAAATAATGTTATCCAATGATCTGCAAGGTAATAATAACAGTCAGTGATGGATAATTGATATGAATTTTAGCTTTTGATTGATTAACTTACTCAGTGTAGGTACATAATTTATCGTCAATTCACGGCACAAACAAACAATCAGTCGATTAACAATCAGGATGAATTCAGTTGATCTGGAAACAATGCATGATGATTGACACTGCAAATAGATAAAATAGAATGAGATTAATTCAAGTTAAACAACAATTGGGGTTGGAATTGAAATTTTAAACTTACATTTTTCAGTGAAATATGGAATAAACGTCTCAATGAGGAAAAAAATGTATCCAAATCGGTTGTTGACTGAAGGTGAGCAAAAAAATCAACCAAAAGAGTTAAACTTTGATTCAACTGGTTATTGTTACAATTAAGTAGAGAATCATCCAAAATTGAATCCAAATCAAGAGATTGTAAATCATCAGTCATTAAAGATAGCAATTCTTTCTGATTTAAAGTGTACGAACAACTCTGAGATAAACACATGAAAAGATAATTAAGATTTTCACAAAAAGGTTTACATTTAGAAGCGATTTCATTCAACATCAAATCTTAATCATGAATCAATATAAGGCTTAATTATTTTTAAATATTCAAGCTATTATACAGTAATCAAGTTAGCCAATTAAGCTGAATATAATCTAACTCTCCATCCTTTAAAAAACACAAACTGTTTAAATTGTAATTGATTTATGATGCAGTTTTAGGCGAATCTATTCATAATCTAATTGTAATGTCATTATTAAGTTAATGTTGAATAGCTTTTGATATAGTATTTATAGTCAAAATTGAAGTCAATCCAAAGTATTTAATACAGTGAACGGAAATAATTTAGCATGCTAATAGAGGATAAATTAAATAAATAACTTACCTTGATTAGAGGAAATAGATATTTGTACCTTTTAATGGATCTTACGAAATGGTGTAAAGCTGTAAATAAAGGTAAACATGATTAATAAAATACACAATCACAGAATATTAGATTGGTCATCATCAACATCATCATAATCTACAAAACAATATAAAATTCAAAAGATATTTCATTTTAGACTGAAAATTATGAATATGATCCAGTCTAGGCTAAGTCAACATGCAAACAAAGTAGATTTGTAAATACACAAGACTCCATTTCTTGTTCAATCATTGATTATCACTACATTAACATATAATGTTACACTCTTACCGACTAATTATCTCTCATTGACAATACTATAGTGTAATAATAATGTCATCAAGTTATTGTTACATTGAATCCTCAATCAACTTACATGAAAGCTGTCTATCTGTTGAAAGGCTAAGCCATGTAATAACCTGTTAAGATTGAAGATTATGACTTGTTGACAATGTGTTTTAATATGATATTGAAACAAAAATGACACCTACCTTCAACTTTTACAGAAATTAATGAATCAGGAAGACCAATTAAAGCTTCTCGTAGCCATAATTCAAAATTATTTGTCAAAATATTAAGATAATTAAGCGTTTGACTTGAAACCGTTTTAAAATTTTGAGGATACAAAGCATTTAGAAGACCCTGGCGAGTAAAAAGGAAAACAAAAGGGCAAATTAAACAAAAGATGGCAGCAATTACGAAGTGATTAATCGGGTTAACATTGGGTTAGCTAAGGATTAGGTTTGGGTTCAAAGAGTAAGCTCTTCTAGAGTTCCTTTACTCTTTGGTTAGTTTTGAATTAATCCTGACTTTATCTTGAATTTACCTCAAAAAAAGTGTAATCACAGCATTGAATTAATTTGGAAAGTAAATCTGATTGCAAGAGACGATCAAAGTGACAAGGTAATTGAAGCCAAAAGTGTCTCAAGTGAAGCTGAATGGAGTCCAGTTTAAAGTTAATGATAATATCAGCTAAATGGTCACAGTGAGTTTTATACATGCAAAGAAAGGTTTCAATGTTTCTATAAGCTGGATTAGAAGGATTAACAAATTCATTGGCTTGTGGGAAATTGTCCATCAATTGGTTTACTTTATCAATCAGGTTAGTATTGAGATGATTTGATGTCAACATTTTCTTGCGACAACCAACTTTACGTAATTTGGTTCTGTAATAAATTTCAAGATGATTTTTTGATGGTGAGAAAGGAATGTAAAATTTTGATTAGTATTGATATATAATTGCAATTTGATACAATAAATCAAATGAAAATCATGTAATAGTTAACACATTTTGAATCATTAATACACACATTTCATGTTTATAATATGCATCATTACATTCAATCGTTATTGTATATGGGACTTTGAGAAATATAAATAATGATAAATGTTGTAAAACATGAAAGCTAATTATGATTAATGATGATAACAACCAATGATATTAGATGATATGTTTATGATTTTGTGAGTAAATTAATTCACATTTAATCACTATAATCAACCTATAAAATTGAATTACAGGTGAAACAATGAAATGAATGCAAAAAAGTAAACCATTTGTTGGTCATTTTGTATTTTCAATTGAATTGCCAGTAAACATTGAAAATTTTTGTCATTTCTTGTTGAATTGTTGCTTCACTGTTAATCATTTGGTAATAGAATTGAAATTAAGACATTATTTACCTTAATCGTTGACTGTTTTCTAGATAATCGCCATAATAAGGTGAACTTTTTTTAATCGCTAATCCAAAGTAATGGTACTTTGACTGTCCCCGAGTACCAAGTCGACGAGTTGCTATTTTATTGAACTTACGACGGATAATCTGAAGATTCAATCACAAGGATAAACTTAAATTATAACTTGATTTTGAAGAGATTTTCGAAGATTTTGGTTCTTTAATGAAAAGTAAACCAGAAACCAGAAACTGGTTTATCTTAAAATTACTTGCCTTTCCAAATGCAGCTGCACTTATTGGCTCTGATTTGATTGAACCACAGTAGTCCAGGTAATGTTTATAAAGTAGACAACGAGGTAAACAAACATCATCGCACAGTTCATAATTGGTTTCCAACCTGGTCATTGTTAGATTGTAAGATTTTAATTATCTGGTTAAGGTAAATTGAAAATCTCTTTACTCTAAACACATACCATTTCAAGATTTTCTCAGTTGATTTACACCGAAAAAATTGAGTTCTTTTAGACATTACACTTGATGAATTGTATAAAAACTTATTCTTGAAATTGATCAACTAGTTTTATCGATGGTTTGATGTGTTGATGGTTAATTGTGAAGGTTTCAACTGTTAACGTTCAAGTAAAATGCAAAATTAAGAGTGAACATATTATGATTGTTTAAGCAAGAGAGATTTGTTCATTATCTCAATCAAAGTTGATTGTTGATTTGTCGGTAAATGATTAGTTTATTTCAAGTGTCGGTAACATTCTGTTTTTTTTCAGGGGAACACAGAAATGAATTATCAAGTGTGAAAATGATTACAATTTATGATTACAATGTGAGTCAAAATTGACGGATATACAGTTAATAATAATAAGTAGTGAGAGAGAGAGCGAGCGAGCGAAAGGTTACTCATATTGTTTGATGTGTTTAATGAAATAATCAGTGTTTAATTAATGTTGATGTGTACAATATCAACATTAAGATCAATAATGAAGGCTCATTTGGTTAGTTGGTGAAGAAAAAAGAATGTAAATTAAACATATTTAGATGAGACTTACCGTGAGTTTTGAGCCTTTTCCTATTGTCATAATACATTGTGAAAAGTTGAAAACTCCGTCTCCTTTAACTATTCAATTTTTATGCTTAATTAACCATTAAATAAACAATTTAATTGAAGTATATGAGATACAAGACTATCACATAACTGTAAACACAAAAAATAAATAAACTAGTTGATTAATTGCTCCGCAATTTGGTTGATTAAAAGGTAAATAATACAGTTTTGAAATTTTGGTTGAAAAATAAACTTACATTTTAACGAGTCTTAAGATCTCACGTATCTATTGATAGTATCTATTAAATTAAGATCGATATTATTTGACCAATAATTTGTTCAACAGCTGACTAGACTCATTAATTTTACTTTTGCGTTTTATTTTTTATTAATTAAATAAAATATCTGATTGACTCATTGTTAATTTTCTCAATCTAGTTAATATTAATCATTAATCTAGTGTTTCTGCTTTCTTTGTCTTTGTTTCAACAGCTTTAGGATGTCTTTTACCCTTTTTAACGGCTCACATGAACGATATTGGGTTAACTGCGAAACAATCAGCTCTAATCAACACCATAACTGGTCTCATCAGTTTAATTGGTCCACTAATATTTGGTCCCATTGCTTATCGTTACCAAAAATACAATTTAATCATCTGTGTAACCCTTCTATTGTCAACAATATCTTATACTTCATTGTTATTCGTACCAAGGGTGATTAAAACTGCAAAACACTCATCCATTATATTTGACTGTACCAGTGGTGAATTATTGGTTGAAAGATGTCAAAATTGGGAAAATAATTGCTCACTACATCCAAAGAGATTAGCTTGGGGTAATTTTACCAATTTCACAATTTATTCATGCAATTATGTTTGTGATCTGAACACACCAAGTCTTCAGCATAACAGCTCATCATCAATCACCTATCATAATAACGTTTATCAACCATCACCTTCTCTTCTATCGCCATTAAATTCACCATTATCATCAACTACATCATCATCTCCAACTGATCCTATTCAAGTTTGCTTTGAAAGCACATCCGAAGGGACTCTTTGCTTAGAATCATCTGATTCACCTAAACAATCAACCTCAGTTAATCCAATTACTGGTAAATTATTGGATCCAATTCAGTTTGATTCACGTTTTGATCGGTGGCCTGAAACAGAGCCTAGAGGAATGTTAATTGGTAACACTCATCTTGTTTCATGTGCATTTCATCCCAATGAAGCTTTAATAATTAAAAGTCAAACATACCAATCAATTAGCTGCCGACCATCCAAACCTGGCTGCTCTATACACTGCCGTGTTGATATGGTCCATCGTTCACATTCAATATTAACCACTCCATTGCCTTGTTATCGTTTATCCGGTCGTCCTCAAGTTACCTTTTACGCATATTTGGCCTTAAGAAGCGTTGCTGATTTATCTCTTTTCACGGGATTTGCTCTTCTAGATTCTCTGGCAATTACATTAACAAATGATTTCGATTCTATCTATGGACGTGCCTCTAAATTGCTTGCTATCACTTTACCGATGTCCTTGTGGCCTGTTGGATCTGGAATTTTATCAGACTACTTTTCTTTGGTATCCAAACGTCCAGATTACTCTCCAATATTTGTTATCTATGATGGTTTCATTTTAATAACAATTATATTGATCATCTGTTTCCCAATTGAACCAATTTCAATCAAATTCAACTTCATTTCATACACTTCATTGTCAACAACTAGTCTTAATGAATCAAATCGACAAAATAATAAACAGTCGACATTACCTCTCACTAAATCGTCATCAAAAACATCTAGAAACCTGAAAGAGTCATCATCTACATCATCATCATCAATGAAATTTAAACAAAAAATTTGTTTATTCGCCTTGCTTCCATTTGTTTTATTTCTTGGCTCAACTTGGGGCTTACTTTATAATTACCTTCCTGCCTATTATCTTGAGCTTGGAATTGACAAGACATGGTTAAGCCTCGCTTTCTCATTATCCTTCATTGGTTATGCGCCATTTTGTTTGATTATTAAATCACTAACCGCTGGAATCGGCAGAATTCGCCTGATTGTTTTAGCTTTCATATTTTACGCTATTCGTTTGACTGGAATCTCTTTTCTTCATCACCCTCGTTGGACTATTATACCTTTTCAACTGATGGAAGCCTTTACTCTACCTTTAGCCTGGGTCGGAATCACATCAACAATTCACCGCTTGTTACCATCGTCTGCCGCTGGATCACATTTAATTGTCCAATATTCCCTAGTCATTATTCATTTTGGCTTAGGTCGTTCATTTGGTGCCTTTATTTGGTGGCTTTGGTTACAAGATTGGGAGGTTAATCATGATCGCTGGAATTGGTTAATTTATGATTGGCCTTTGATTCAAATTGCTGCCAATTATGATGTATCCAGTTACCGTTTATTATTGCGGTTAACAGCCATCATAATGGCCATTTGTGGTTTGGTTTTACTCCTCTTTTATCATCTTTGTTGTTTCTGTTGTTCACCTAAAAGATCATCGATTCATCAAATGAAAACTAAAAATAATCGCATTAAAGGTAAACATAACAAGTCATCATCACCATCAAACTCACCATCAACATCAACCGGTAATCAATCAAAAAAATCAAATGAAACGGATGTTTTACTTAATGGTATCCATAGTTCATCATTTACCGTGCCTTCCGCTGATAATAATCAATTAATTTCCGATGATTGTAATAAATTGATAACAATGCCGAAGACATTAACAGCGGATGGTCAACCTATTAAGGGTGAAACAAATGGTGTTAAAGTGATTAGTAAAGTTGGTGAAGATGATTTATAAATTATAAATATTTCATCTTAAATTAAGTGCATCCAATGACAATATATTTATAAATTATAATACAATATTTTCACAGTCATCAACGTCTTTTACGATCCAAATCAACATTAATAATTTTTAACGTTTGACATCTTTGGTCACAATATTTCAAACAAAAGTACAGAGTGAAAAATAATAGTGTAAAAATGTTAGCTCTGTGACGATCTCTGTAATATCTGTTTCTTCCTAATTGTAATTAAAGAAATATATATAATATTAAATTGTATCATTTATAGATAATTTGCTCTGAGTTGTTCCAATTTAAATGTGTTTGAAATTTCTTTTCAGAAAAAATCCAGTGAAAATTGTCTTTCTCATATCAATATTTAGTTGATATTTGAAGTTGTTCTGACTATTATCTATTTGAATCATTTAGTTATTTAAACTTTAGTATCGGTTATCAAATTAAAAGGCGTTCCTTATTGACTTGACCTGTAATCACAATTGTTTGGTCAACAAATACTAAAGGTTAATCGAAACTTCCCGTTGCATCGAAGCGTTTCTAGCTTTTATAGTTTTACAAAGAGCATTAGTTACTCTTGTAGGATTTACCTATTAGGATGATAATCAATTGAATGCTGAAAGATTATCTTTTAATTGGAATAGTTCAATTAATTGAGTGAAAAAAGTCTTCAAAAAGATATGCAAAAACGAGTGAAAGTTGAGCTAATTAACTAAAGCCATTTGTCAGGTTACAATTAATTCAATTTAAATTGAATAAGATACATTTGTCGTTATGCCTTGAGTAATTTGAATAAAATTTTCATCATGATTTACATTCAAGAATGAAAGTTACAAAAGCTTTTCTTCGTGTGTTTACATTGTTTGGTCAAGTAGGATGTTACTTTGTTAAATTAAATTAATTTAATTACAATATTTAACCAATGAATAGGATTTGGGATGAGGAATGATGCAAAACAAAATAAACGGTTCAGCTCTTTGGTCTGATTAAAATTTTAAATAATCATTTTGAAGAACAACTATCAGACGCTCAATCTCGTCTACCTTCAGTTACACACGGAACAATCTTTGCTCAACATTACTTCCAATTCAATAATCTTTCAGTTACGATTCCAAAATTTTAAAGTCGTGTTTGTAATCAACAGCTGCATCAGTTGAAGTTCTTGTCCATATTGCCTAGTTTATGGTTAACAATTAAGCGTCTCTACATTTGGTTGCTTTGGTATCAACTTTAAACGATTCCACAATCAATTGAACATCCCTTCACCTTGTGTGGATTTCAATGAAGTTTTGTTTGAAATTGCCTTTAATTTTAATCTTGCTTGAGTCCATTTTTATTTGCGTTTATGGCGAGAATAAACTTGGATTAATCGAGCCAACAGAGACTACTTTGATCGAAATGAAACCTTTATTTTACTCCTTCGATGACTCTAATCGTGGTTCAAAAATGAACAGACTATTGAAGAAGAAGAGGAAAAAAGATTCAGCCAAACATCGTGAGGCTTATAGATTGTTTACATCCGATGGTGAAAACGCAAAGGAGGCAACTAATGGGGGTGAAGCCGCAGGTGATGCTTCGGCTGACGGTAAAGTGATTAAAATTGACAAAGGATTGGCACAAATGCACAAGGAGCACGAGCTGGATCATTTGGACCATGATTCTCATTCAGGTGAAGATAAATTTGTGAAAATGATTTGGGACAAAGGTGATGGTTTTGTTAAGCGATGGCATTGGGATAGAGGCGAGAAAGTGAAAGAAAATCATTCGGTGGCAGCAAAGAAACACTTGGAACATCATGACAAAGGTAAAGTTGATGAACACGTGGAGAAACAACAAGGAGTGGTAGTTCATTCAAAAAATAACGAGTCTAGTGAAACCAACGGAATTGAAAAAATGGCCAAGAGCTCAATATCAAGGGACCAAGAAACAAAAAATGATGACATAATTGAGCAGTTAAAGTTGAAACTGTTGAAACAAAGACTTCAACAACAGCAACAGCAATCTGATCAGAAAGGTGGACAGTCCATAGTGCTAGACGGTGCACAAGCTGCTAAAAACAATGAAAACAGTGACAATGATGATGTAAACGGGGACAACAGGATTGAGCTTTTGCTTGGCAATCAAGATAGTGGTGAAGAAGCAGATTCTGATGACAATGACATCAATAACCACGGTTTGAGAAGACAAAATCAGTATAAGGAAATCATTAAAAAAGACGATAAAAATGAAGATGAACCCAGATCAAAGGCACGAAGATTTCCAGTGAGAAAACAGCAGAGAAACAAAAATGAGAATGATGAAAATAACGAATCAGACGATTCTGGTGACAATGGAGAAGGAAATAAAATCAAGAAACACCGGGATTATCATCGTAAAGTAACAGTCAGAGAGGAAAAGTCAGAATTGGCAGCTCAAGAAAGATACAGAACGGGAGATAAAAATAATGATGAAATAAACAAAGAAAATGATGAAAACAATGGCGACGAAGGTGGTAATGGATATGAATCTGGATCCAAGGGGAGTGGATACATTAAACATTATCAGCTGACCTCAGATGGACAAAAACGTTCGCTTAATCCACTTGATTTTTCCTCAATTATTGGTGATCAATCATTACAAATTAAAACAGCAGTTGCTCAAGATAATGGTAAAATAGTCGACAATAAAAATGAAGTCAAGCCATCAGAAAAATTGGACAATACAAGTCTAACTCGGAAACGTTTGTTGACTCAAAATCATTTCCAGCCGAATACATTGCAACTAATTAATCCGCGATAATCAGGTTGATCCTAAAAATGGCATTACTAGAGTTTTATTATTTATTAATTTTGTATCAAAAATTCATATCCTATTTATATTCCATAATTCAAATAAATCTAGATTAAATCAACAATATGCAATAAAGTTTTGCTTGTTTTCATCAGACATGATTGTACTTCTAATACAGCAGCTTTAACAACAGCGTCTCTTTGCATGATGCTTGTTAGAGATGGAAATGAATAAATGAAGAAGAAACCAAATTATAATCTTTAACCTAATCCATCAAGTAAAAGAGATTTACAATATTTCACTTGATTCCTTTCATGAATCTGTGCATCGAATCTTCTCTTTTTTATGTTATCAGTAGATTCTCCTTCTTTCCTCTCCTTTCCGACAGCTTTTCATCCTTGATTGAAAATGTAAGGCTGTAAATAGTTAGATTGTAAGGGATGAATAACTGAAGTTCAATTGACATTAATATGTAACAATCAAAAAATCGGTTCACAAAAAGATAATTTCATATCTCAATCATAAGCTATCTTTTCATCTCTTTTTTTCGGATTGAGTTGGTTGATTTTTGCTTTTAAAAAGTAAAAAAGACAATAAGCAAAAAAATAGGAAAAGTAAATAAAAGACAAGTGATAGACAGAGGGAGAGAAAGAGATGAGATTGTTGAATGATAAAAAAACGAGTTAAAGATGAGAATGGAAAGATGGAGGCAGAGGGTATGAAGGAGTAACAAAAAATGATGATGATGATGATGATGATGGCAAGAATGTGACTCAACCATGGATGAAAGGTTGGAAGACAAGAGTAACACATAAGTCAATGAAATATGCGGTTGATGGCTAAGAGATTATGGTCTGAAAATACAGAAAATGAAAACATGACAGAAATTGTTTTAGAAGCGACATGAACACTGAGAAAATAGTCACAAATTGAATCATCATTCACAATCTAACACTCATTTACTTTTCCAAAAGCAATTAATCCTTACAGAGGAGATGAAATACAAAGAAAGAAGATAAAAGTAGAAACGAAAAGTGGTGAAGATAAAAAACAAGCTGGAAAGTGGTTACCTGAAGAAAGATTTTTTTTTCTTGGGCTGATTTTTCTTGTGAAAGGAATGAGAAAAAGCGCATTAAGGAGTGCATATTTGAGAAAAAAAGGACAAGCAGTTATTAAAGATCCATTTACAACACCGTTAATATTATTAGATATATCTTTCAACATGAGTTTTTTTTATTGGTGAAGGAGGGGAGTGAGAATAGATTAGATTTAAGAGAGGATTTTGAGACCGGTAATAAAAGTAAAAGGAAGCTGAAACATTTTTAGGGGAGAATAAAGAGATAGAAGTGGCAAGGTGAGAAAAGAGGTTGAAGATATAGAATAGCATATTTTTTTCCTGTTGAGTCCTTTGATACTTTTTGCAAAATCTTTTCTTGTTTAAACCTTGCTGAATACTAGCGGATGATTCCTGTTGCTCCTTTTTCTCCAAAATTTGACATAATTAGTTTTCTTCGTCATCCAAGTTACGTTTCACTTTGGAGAAGTCAAACTCTTCACCGGTTCCTCTTTTGTAAATGTCTAATACGTCAAGACAAGTTGTTTCAAAATGAGTTGTAGCATCGAATGATTCCGAAATAAATATTTGGCTTTCCACACCATCATCTTTGGGTCTGTAAATGTCCGAAATGGATACAAATTTCTGTTTAATGGGACCCAGAAGATCAAGTCCAGGTTTAATTTCAGCTTCAGGGTTGTTGGTTTCAACAAAAGCTGATACCATAGCAATGAACCAGCCTTTAGCAGAGACTTGGTGAGTATAAGATACCATAGAGACATAAATATCAGATTTACGACCAACTTGTTTTTGAGGAATGATAATTTGAGTGGAGAGAGAATCTTTGGTATTCGGGATTGGGTGGTTGAGTAAACAGATACAACGAATTACTTGACCAACTTTAGTAACCCGCTCAGGTACATAGCTTGGGTCACAATAGACTTGCTTACATCGGGCAATTTCATCGCCAGATTTTACACCGACAACTTTACCATTCTCAATTACAATCTCATCCACTGGTTTGTCCAGCATATAAGTACCACCATAAATGGCAGAGAGACGAGCAAACCCTTGAGGAAGTTCACCCAAACCATATAAAGGATAAAGGTATGGACTTTTACCATATCGCGCCAAAGATTCACTGTAAAGGCGAACTCTTTCAATCAAATCGTAGCATGGTTTACTGAGATAGTCATCATCTCGATACAAAGCTAAAGCATGACCAGTGAAATCAGCAGTGTCCTTGTCTAAATTGAAATGCTCATACAGTTGAGCAGCTGTTGTCTTGAAAGGATCAATATCTTTCCAGGTTGATTTTTCATCTTTTTTGAAATCTTTAACGAATAACAAGAAACTACGGAATCTTCGTTTCTCAAACATTCCCATTAAACTAGACGCCAAAGCCTCCTTCTCATCAGCTGGAACCTTAAAGATCTTGCCTCCTTTGTATACGTATGATCCTTCGATAACTTTAAATTCAAGATATCTGGTAACTTCAGTGTGTATCAATAATTTAACCAACAATCCATTGGCCATGAGAAATTTTGGAATGAGATCAACATTCCAGTCTCGAGTCCTACATAAACAGACACCAAAAATTAAATAAAAACAAATGGAAAGAAAACATTAGCATTAAACAGGAAAATGAACTGTAACAAAACACAATTTTCAACATCCAAAATGCAAACGAGTTGCTTGTTTTTTGAATGAGAAAGATGCATGAATGACGAGATGGAAAATACTGAAATATGTAATACATATTGTAGGAAACCCTTTTTCATCTATTAGTGCATAAAGCTATTACAGTAAGGGGTATAGTCATTATACATCTGCCTCTTTTCAACCAAGCAAAAATTGATCAAATTTTCATAATCACCTTCCATATTCTGCAAGGCTGGGTACTTCATTGCCAAATTTACTGAATAGATCCTCTAATGGCGTAATACTTGCCGATTCACCACCATAATATTTGTTTCGGTCAATATGGAGAACCTTTTTTCCAGAAACGGAGAGCATTCCAGAAATAATACATTCCTTGAGCCCAGTACCCAAAACAATGGCATCATATTCTTCATCCATGATAACTAGGAGTTAGATATTGTTATGATACCTGTTGAGTGACACGAAAATAAAGATTAAAGAAGGGCTACAGAAACAAGGTGATAAAATGAATTTAAAAGTCTAATCTTGTAAGACAAAGCAGAACTTTAAACAGAGGGAGAGAGCAACGAAAGGGTGTACAAATTAGTGACGATTTATTAAGTCTAATTCAAAAAAAGGAGAAGTACAATTGCCGATCTTTCCAGCCACGATGATGGAAGATATAAGGAGGTGGGAGAAGAAGCAACAGTGAGAGAGTGCTAAACTTAAAGAATGAGAAAGAGAGAGAGAGAGACAGAGTGAGAGAGGATACACTGGGGGTAAAAATTTTGTTTTACATCATCAGGGAAAGCAAAAAAGAAAGAGAAAAAGATAGAGAAAGAGAAACGACGAAAGAGTCTGTCAGAAAAACAGACAGGCAGAAAAAAACATTGAGAGAACAGCGAAGATTCAGAAAGGAGAAGCAAAAAAGAATGCAGACCAACAAATAGATGGTATACGGTTGATGAGAGGTGAAAGACAGATAGGTTAAAATAATTGATAACTAAAAAAATATAATAAAAACAGAAAAAGGATTGGAAAGAAAATGACAAAAAGAAAATGTTGACAAAGATTGGGTTAAAATATTAATAGACTAACCTGAATGGAAACAGTTAATAGTGATAGTGAATAATGATTTTGGAGCACAATTATAATTAGGCACCAAGGAAAGGAGTTTCGTCTTTAATTACGAGATTGAGGAGTGCGGAAAACGATCGGAAACAGACAAAAAGTGCTGGAGGAGGAACTGAAGAGGTGTAAAAGTGAAAGAAAGACAAATTAATACAGGAAGATAGTGGTGTGTTGCACGCATGTGTTGAAAATTGTGTTTTTTGAAAATTGTAATTTTTAAAGGCAAACTTTTGTTTAATAATCAGAAAATCCTATGTTTAATCGACTAAAAATGATACTATTTAGATTTTTCAAAATATTTCGCTTAACGCGGACAAATTGCCAGATTTAACAAACGGTTTGATTATTAATTAACTTCGAGTTGGTGGAAAATTTCATTGGTTTGTTGAGTTACTCGAATAAACGTGGTTCGACGAGGAAGTTCCTTAAGCTTAGCTGATCCAGTATACGTGCATGCAGATCTGAGGCCACCAAGAATGTCTAAAATTGTCTGGTCAACATCCCCACGGAATGGAACTTCAACAGTTTTACCTTCCGAGGCTCGATACTCAGCGACTCCTCCATGATGCTTATTCATTGCTGTTGCTGAACTCATGCCATAAAATTTTTTGTATTTTTTGCCATTTTTTTCAATGGTCTCACCGCCACATTCAGTGTGTCCAGACAGCATGCCACCCAACATAACAAAATCAGCTCCAGCACCAAAAGCTTTACAAATGTCACCTGTAAAATTGAAAATTTAAATTTAATACAGATCTAACTAAGACAAGAATAAATGACAAAATTGATTTACCTGGACATGTACAGCCTCCATCCGATATAATATGGCCGCCTAGACCATGTGCTGCATCTGCACATTCAAGAACAGCGCTTAATTGGGGGTAACCTACACCCGTCTTTTTACGAGTTGTACAGACTGAGCCTGGACCAATGCCAACTTTAATTATATCAGCTCCAGCAAGAATAAGCTCTTCAACCATTTCGTCTGTTACCACATTACCCGCCATAATTGTGCGATCGGGAAAATTTGATCGAACTTGTTTAACAAAGTCAACGAAAAACTCTGAATAACCATTGGCAACATCTAAACAAATGAAAGGTATGGTGGGAACTTCTGTGAGGATTGCTTTCAAATTGGTGAAATCTGACTCTCCAATTCCAGAGCTAACAGCGATATTCTAAGAAAAGCAAAATGAAAAATGAATGAGAAACAATTCATCTGATTACAGCATTGAGACTAACCTTAATAGCATCAGGATGTTGATTAGCAAATGATTTCCATTCTTCCACTGAATAATGTTTATGGATAGTTGTAAGTAGATTATGCTGTGTAAGTTGAGAAAAAGAACACAGAAAGCAAGAGTAGAAAAATAGAAAAATGAAAATATAGAGAAATAATTATCTTCAAATGTTTAATGCCAAGGGTAAAAGCTAATTGAATTTTTTTTTCATAATAATATACCTTATTCAAGGCTACAGCCATATCAAATGTTCCAATAGTGTCCATATTAGCTGCTATGATGGGTACGCCAGTAAATTCTTGGTTAGAATTTTTGAATTTAATGCAACGATTCAAGTCAACCTGTTAGAAGAAATAGGAATCCTTAGAGTCGCACTTTACATTATAAAAAACCAAACAACTTACCTCTGATCTACTTTTTAAAGTACTTCGCTTGGGTCGTAAGAGAACATCCTTGAAGTCAAGTTTAACATCATATTGAATGGTCGGCATCTTTAATAATGTTAGGGTTTGAAACCAAAATTATTTGAACCACTATTTTTAAAGAGACAATACTTTAGATGAACTGGTGAAAAACAATGGAGTTGAACTAAATTCCTGACATTCGAAACTGAACTGGTTAGTAATAAGTCGAGAATATCTCTCAGAGATGTTCAGAGTGACATCTAGGAAGTGCTCCGATAACAAGAGTTTGAGCTTTCTGGTAAATAAATAAGAAGCAAAGCAAATAATCTAATGTCATCTACAAATCTTTGTTTAAACTAAAATAATTTTTGAACCTATCTTCGTTAATTATCAGACCAATTTCAACGAATATTGAGATAATTGAAAAAGACTTGAGATATTTGAAAGCAAGAAACTTGAAAGGATTAGGATTAACTGCAGAATGAGATTCAAAATAAAGTCTTATCGTTGAGACTGTTTTAAATATTGACCGTCAGCTCCAGTGTAAAGTAAATGAGTTTAAGTTTAATCCAATAAAAGCTTAAACAATTAGTCAGAAGTAAAAAGCACAAATCCAAGTAAAACTGACAAAAATCTGGTTTCCTTATTTTGTTTAGTACACATTGGGACATTTTCAGGTTTCATGACATGGATAAATCAAGTTTAACCCAAAATTTAATACCTTTCATTAGTTTGATCAATGTATAACAATGAAAATTTGCAAAGTCCTTAAACTAAATGCTCAAAAAGAGGTTAAATTTGATTAAACCTGAACAAATGTATTGTTTGTATCAACCATTGAACAAATATCAATGCAAATATTGGAGTAAATTAGTTTAATAGTTAGACAACCATTCGATTTAAGGCTGAAAAGGCTTTTTGAGTAATTTGTTTTTACTAATGTGATTGTCAGACAATTATTTTAAGTGAATCACCTTTCAACAAGATACAAGATATAAATACATTTGATATTGTTCAGTTATTAATAAATTAAAAGCTCAAGCTCAACACGAGAAACAATTGACCAAAAGCCCACGAAAAAAAGATGGAGGAGTCAAATTTAAAGTGATAAAAGGTTAGTTACTTACAACCACTATTAACATAGCAATTCCTAATGCAGTAGACAATGAAATTAGTAAATGAAAATAGCCCAAAATAGTAGCCAAAGGATCCCACCTTTAGATAGACTGAGCAAGGCTCAGAGCTTTGGGAAGGTTTCAGGTCAAATTAAGCATTAATTTGGCAAGAATAGTCACAATTAAAACTTAATTTACCCTTTGCCATCTATTTTTGTTCTGTCGCTCGATTGATATCAATTCAATGTGAACCTGAAAATGATGCGATTTGATGTTCACAACATGGTAAGTTAATCTAATTTATAATCAATTTTTGACATTGAATTCATCAACAGTTGAATTATTTTCATTTATCAATGATAATCAAAGTAACAGTCAAGAGTCGAGTGTTTGTTAGACTTAAATTGAGTTTCTTTATAGAGATAAGTTAAACCAGTTGATCAGTAATGTAAAATTGATAGATTGAAATGAAATCATTGAAACTGTAATATCAATGGTGAGTAAATTGATGATTAAATTTGGTCAAATGATTATTACTAATGAGTTGGTTGAATAAAGACTGAGGCTTGAAATAAACAAATATTCAACATTGGGAACATTGAAATTATTTCTCGCTTTCCTGTTGATTGTTGCGATTAATTGAAACAGGAAAACAAATCAGCTAATCAGTTGAAGTAATGAAGAGTTTAACAAGAAAAAACCAGGCAAATCAGTGACTTTCCGGTTTTATATTTCACAAAGTTGACAATCAAATTTAGACATTTCATTTAAGTACAACTTTTTTTTGCGGTGAATTTAATCGGCAGATGATCAATCAAAATGCTGATTGTTGGCTAATTTTGTTAATTTGGTTAAGTTGATCCGAATGGGTGTTGATAGGAAACAAGTGAAGTTAATATTTTAGCAAAACAACGGAATGAGCAACATCTCAGTATCATTACATCACTGTAGTGTCACAAATAATTTGAAGCTTAAACATGATTGTTCATTATTTTACAGTTCATCTTTATCATCATTACAATTATCATTATCATCATCAGCCATGGAAATGATTTTTACCTCCATTGCTATCAACTGAACGCTTATTATTTTCAGTTTTTTCCCAATGAAAAAGTGTTTTTAATAGAGACGAGTTATTACAGCTAATGACAATGATGACTACTGATTTCAAATCAACAATTCAATCAGTCAGCCCAAATCAGTTGCTTATCAAATAATTATTTGTGTCTAGTTGACGAAACCTGACAAAATTAGACATTAAATTGAATGTCAACAAATAATGTTTACATTTTCAATCCATAATTGTTAGTTAGAGCTGACGGATTATTCAATAATTTCATCAACCAACATTAATATTGCGACTATTGGTTAATGGTTAACCATAGTCTCAACTAAATCATGTTAATTAATTCATCCTAACAAAAAAGATATTTCTTTCTGTCTCTTTTTTTACCTTTCATACTTGACAATTGTGCCTAAATTGTGTGTTAACAAACAACTATTAAACCTTTATCCCATTAATCACCATCCATTGACTGTTGCCTGATTAGAATCGTTCTCGTGGATTAACAACTTATCAACCATTCTCTTGGTTTGACCCTTATTCAACAATGGACGGACTATTCCGTGGTCTATCCAAATTGGTTAAAATTACTCCAGTTACAAATGACGACATTGTCTTTCGCCTTCATCGACAATTGACTGTTTTAATACTCTTTGCATTCTCGATAATAGTAACTGCTCGCCAATATATTGGTGATCCAATTGATTGTTTAACCAAAACTGAGATTCCCTCGGATTTATTGGACACTTATTGTTGGATCCATACAACATTTAGCATTGAAAGTGCCTGGAATAAGACGATTGGTGTTGAAGTTCCATATCCAGGAGTTGCTAAGCAGACTAAAGATGATACCCGAGTTCATCATCACTATTACCAATGGGTTTGCTTTTTCCTCTTCATTCAAGCTTTGCTTTTTTATTTTCCTCGCTTCTTGTGGAAATCATTTGAGGCTCGTCGATTAAACTCAATTGTTATGGACCTTCATTCACCCATTTTATCTAATGAGGAGCGAACTCGTCAAATTAGCATCTTTGTAAAATATTACATTGCCCATTTAGGTTATAATGGCATCTTTACTTTTCAATACTATCTCTGTCAAATACTTTGCTTTGTCAATGTGATCTGCCAAATGTGGTTAACCGATTGGTTTCTGGGTGGCGAGTTTACCCAATATGGTTGGAAGGTTTGGCTGTTTACCGATGAAACCGATCCAGGATTACGGTTTGATCCAATGGTCAAAGTATTTCCAACCATTACCAAATGTATCTTCTATAAATATGGACATTCCGGTGATATTGAAAAATTTGACACCATTTGTATCCTCATTGTTAATATACTCAATCAAAAGCTCTACTTTTTCCTCTGGAATTGGTTCTGGTTCTTGTCCGTAATTACTGGAGCTTGGTTAATTTACAGATTCCTTCTCGTCTTTTGGCCTCAAACACGATCATTGGTTACCCGAGGACGATCCAAGATGATTCGTAATGATGATGAATTGAAGACGGTTTTAAGATCAATTAGTTTTGCTGATTGGTTTGTCCTTGATTTTGTTGCCATCAATGTTGATTCAATGAATTTTAAAGAAATTATCGGCGAATTGGCTAAACATTTCAAACCTAAAGGAAATAAAGGAAACCAGAAAACAATTGATTAGAGACGATAAACCAAATTAAATGTTTAAATTAATTCACTAGGTTAAATTAATTATAATAATACACAGTAAACACTATTAATTTATAATAATAATGTATTTTACTTAAATGGTGAAATAATCAATTCAAAGATTGCATGTGATAAATGACAATGAATTTCGAGTAGTTGACAACAAAGATAGTTTTTTAATGTTAACTGGACAATTGTGACCAATGTAATTGATTCTCATTTTTTACTTTTATTTTTTTATTCAATGTGTAATAAAAAGCAAAATGAGGGACAATAAAAATTGTAATTTAAAACGAGATTTGCCTAAACGCTTGTTATTTTGAATGAGTGCGTTACAATTGTAACAAGAAATTGATTGTCATCCACGAAACAATTTAGGAACCTCTGAAGACATTTCCAGATCAAAGCAAGGACTTTGTGGGTTTGAGGGGCATTAAAACTGAGTCCATCTGTGTGATTAGAAATTTTCATTATCATTAGATTTCCATGAAATGGAGCTCAAAATTGACACTTTGAATGCCTTTTGTACAGTTGGGATCAGCAATGATTTAGTGACGAGATTCAAGTAAAGAGTTGATTTTTCATGTTTTCTAATAATCAGATTAAATAACCTGTTTTCACTGGTCTGATTGAGTCTGGTAAATGAATTGACAGTTTATGATAATTGTTCACCAATCATTGCTTTATTAGGATTTTTGTTCTTGTTAGATTGAAAATGATTTTTAGGTTCAAAGATACTTCCTACTTCTATCTGATCTGTTGACTATTTTTGGAAAATTAACTGATTATTTTGTAAGAATGATGTAATTGAATATGAAAAGAAGAGTGAATTCATTGTATTTCACCAGAAAGCAGATAACAGAGACAACTAATTGCTTAAATGGAAAAGGAAAATTTTCACAGTTGAATAAAATTCTGTACAGATTGGTTAGTTGATGGTAACTATGAATAATTTTAATATAATTTGTTTTTGGCACCAATAAATGGCAATTGTTGTAGTAATATAATCATGAAAATTCAATTATAATTGAATGAAACTCTACATAATTTTAACTGTAATGAAATGAAATATCAAATAAATGTGTACATACATTCAAATCCATCATCTATTCTATAGATGATGATAATTATAATCATGAATAGTATAATAGAAAATATGAATTATTTAAGGCACCTCTTCTTTGGAGAATAAGAAACATTAATTATAATAATTTGAATCGGGTGAATTACGATTCTTTTTTGTTCATTGTATGTTTCTTTTTGGCTGATTGAGATTAGTCTTTCTTTGGGTGAATTTTGAATTAGATTGTTCATGGCATCTTGTTGGAGTTCATTTATTGTCCGTTTACCTTGGTGTCGAGATTAGTAAAGATGAACAGAACAGGCTGAATTGAATTCTTTCATCAGAATAGTGGGAAGTGACTTTAGTTATGATCAATGGTAGACTTGTTTGAGTATAAACATTTACACTGAGAAACCAGAAAAAGAGTAATCAAGTTTTTTCATCTGAAAATAGTATCTCATTAGCGTTATATCGAGTTTCATAATGAACTCCAAGTGTGCGTTGAAGTCGCTGGAGGCGAGTGACAAACTCTCTTATAGTTGCATTGGTTTGAACACTTTTTAAAGTGGTTGATTGATCCTTGGCTATTGGTTTAGAAGATATTGGATTTGGTGACAAATCAACATGAAGAGTTGATGGAAGAACAGTGACTCTGTAAGAAGATAGAAAGATGAGTGGGAGATTAAATAACAGAAAACACAGATTATTTTTGTCAGATTTAAAGGGAAAAAGGAAGTTTGTCGAGGGAAATTATTTTTTTGGCAAAAAATCATTCTAACATACTTGGAAGATGTTTGGGTAATCGGTTGTGGGTCATTTTTTGCTGGGTATGTTAAATGTTTTAAACGGATGTGAACAATCCTGTGAATGGCAATAACAGCAATCACCATGCTTTTAAAACGTAATCGTCCTGGGTTAGGTAAAGATGATTCATTAGCTGAAAGTAAAAGATCATGAAAAGAAAATAAGAGCAAACATTAGTTGATTGATGCTTTTTCGTCTTTTATACACCCTTTCAAGGCTTCATCATGATCATCATCATGTAAAAATAAAGAAAAATATGAAGAAGTTGAAACCTTGAGTGTGGGTAAATTGGTATAATGAATATGAACTTACTGGTAACATTTGGATTTGCAAGAAGTGCAAGAGTTGCTCTTTCAGTCAATTGATAACCTCCAAGAACATTGAGCAGATATTTTTTCTGATAAATCAGTGAATTTCGGTGACTTAAACATCTTCTGTATTGATGGTATAGTTCACCATGACTACATTGATCAACCTTCACCTTGTCAATTGGATTTACGGTTGGATAGGAATTTCCGTTATGATTATAACTAACAACGTCTTTGTGAATATTGTTGTTACTTGGCTGAGTTAGTTTGGCATTGCTTTGTTCTTTGAGCTTCTTCTTAACCTTGTCGTACTTTTTTTGGTAAACATCCAATTTTTCTTGAGCTTTAATTAATGCAGCCTCCAAAGCTGACAATTGACCAGAAATAGTTTCATTTTGGATAATATGAAATTTCACCTTCTCATGGGCATCTGAGTAAACCTTTTTAATTTCCCACAATTTCTCCAACAACTGGATTCCAAGTTTTTTAGCTCGGAATTTATCCAAAAACGATTGAATTCTCTCACTATTGATATCACACTTATCATAATGATTGTTTCCATAATGCTTTGTATCGATGACATCATAGGTAGCATTTCCATTATTTTGATCCAATAAAATATCAGGAAGAATGTCAATAATTGCTTGAATAACTGTTTCTTGAGATATTTTGGAAGTTTCACTAAGAGCGACTATCTCAGTGCTTTGTTTGTGAATTTTGAGCAAAGCATCTTCAATGCTATCCTCTTCGTCAATGAAATCTGAATCTTTGTCCATTAAATCATTATTATTTACAGATGGCAATTCCATAGGTCGCCTTTCTTCACGAAGGTTTTCAAGTTCAGTTCTTAAAATTTCATTTTCTTCTTTCAAGTTGCTCATTGCGAAGTACATCTTATCACATTTCAATTGAAGTTCAGATATTTCTTTCTCAGAGTCAGGGTTAAATGATTTATCACCATTTCGCACGAGTTTCAAGGAACTGGATTTGTTAGAAGACAGTAAATTCTCATAAATTGATCGTCTTGGCGAAGGAGGAAGGCTTTGACACTGGGATAACATACTGGGAACTGGACTTTTCATGGTTGATCTAAGATCATCCTTATTTTTCAAACTTAGATAGTTGTTTACCAACTCATCCACCATTGAAATTGGACTTGAATTTTGTTGAGAAAAAGGTAGGATGATTGCAATCCTTTCTTCTATTTCTTTGAGTTGACTTGTTAATTCATCGATTTCGTCGTTTTTATCACGTATAACTAATTTCATTAATTGAGGAATCATGATATTTGAATCTTTAGAGTCTTGAAATCTTTCTTCTGCATCAATTTCACGATCCAATACAATGTCTTCGAGCTTTTGTTCAAGCTTTTCTTTCTCCTCAACTAAACATTGTTTATCTTTTAACAATTCTTGAACTTCGTTTTCCAAGGATGCTTTATCAATTTCATATTGTTGTAGTTCATTAACCAATTGAGATATTCGGCTATTCTTTTCATCAACAGCTAATTGCAAATCATCAACTTTAGAAATTAAATGTTCACTTTTCTCTTGTTCAACAGTTAACATGCGTTTTAAATCACTGATGGATGCTTTCAATTGATTAATATCCAAACAAGAGGTCCCGTCCAATCGTGATTTCAATGCACTTAATTGAAGATGTTTGTCATTTAATTCCTCTTGCAATAGATCGACGGTTCGTGTAGCTTCTTTCAATTCGGTTTCCAATTTTTCCTTCTCTTTAGATAATTCATCAACTTGCGTTTTGCAGATTCTTTTTTCACTGATGGCATCATTTTTTTCTTTAGTTACTTTTGAATTAACCGAAATCAATTTACTAATGTAAACATTGAGCATTTTGAGTTTTTCTTGGAGTAGATGAGCATCAGCATATGAACACTCCAAAGACGATAAATCAGTACTTTCATTTGTATTCTCACTTGAAATAAACTGTAATTGTTGATGGCAGTGGAGTTCATTATCATCATCATCCTCGTCTATGGGTATTACCTCCATCATTGAAAAAGGAAAGGTGAGTTAAAGAAATAAAAAAATCATAGCAATACGATTCAGAAAAACTGTAAAACAAGTTCAAATTGTAAACAATAAATGAAACTCAAAAATGATGGGATAATTCAAATGTGACTGTTAGAGGGCTCTGCAAACGAATATACTAATTCATTGAACAATAGAGGGAGACTCAAAAAATAATGAATGATTTGTTTACTAAACAAGACTAACAGCTGTAAAGTTTGCAAACTTGTGATCGGACAATTTCATCATGTTTGGACAGAGGATTGTTTCGGTAAGTGTAATAACTACCTTTCGATTAAAATTATAAATAGATCATACTCTAATCGTTTCAATCTTTATAGAATCCGATTATTTTTAAAGCTCTACAGTCAAGATTTTACGCATCAACTGGTTGGAAAGTAACGAAGGGTAAAGATGTTGCGAGGTATTCAGCTGCTGCTGCAATCGGTTTTCTTGGACTAACTTTCGCTTCTGTCCCTTTATATCGGATATATTGTCAAACTACTGGTCAGGCTGGTCAACAAGGGTTCGTTGGGTCGACTGTTGATCAAGTTGAAAAGATGAAGATTGACAAAAGTCGTAGACTGAGGGTATCATTTGTTGCTGATGCCACCAATGATCTTCAATGGGAATTTAAACCGATTCAACATTCAATTGAGGTATCTTGATTGTTTTTGACAATTTATGCATTTATTTTGTGCTTTTATTGCTTCTTTCTATTTTAATCAATTGATGTAATCTATTTTGAATTTCAGGTCAGTCCTGGGGAGACAACATTAGCATTTTTTACAGCCAAAAACCCTCTTAAAGAAGCAGTTATCGGAATAGCAACTTATACTGTTCTGCCGTTCGAAGCTGCTAAATATCTCAATAAAATTCAATGTTTTTGCTTCGAAGAGCAAAGGTTGAATGCTGGTGAAGAGGTCGACTTACCTGTCTTTTTCTATATCGATCCGGCATATAATGATGACGCTAGATTGGATACAGTTAGTGAAATTATATTGTCTTACACATTTTTTGTAGCTAAAGAAGGGATTAAATTGCCAATTATCGGTCAAATGAACCCTTTACCGACTTGATTTCCTTCTGACTTGACTTCGTTTTGCTCGATTGTAATTTGGAAACTTTAAATATTGTAAATTTAATCTATTGAAATTAAAATTAACCATAATTTCGCAATCGTTTCATTAATCGTTTTATCGAATATTTTCCCCAAAAGATAACTAAGGAGTCTTATTGATTTTGAAATTAACCATAAGTTCGCAAATAAGGTTCATAATTTACGCCATTGTCCATTCCATGTAATCTGCAATGCTGACTTTCAAAATGCAGCACGTTGTGTCGTCGTAAAAACGGGGCGACTATTTGATAGCCGAAATGCCCATAGCGCTGGTAGATTGGCAGCCATTCCTGTTTCAATTTCGCCATCAATTCAGTATTATTAACTAATTTGGCCGCTGTCTTTAAACAGGTAATATTGTTCATGAATGGACAAAGGCTAAGATTACATTCATTTTCATCAACAAGTTGTTCACCCAACAACATGTATCTAAAATAGAAATTATCGCCTTCAAAATGGAGATGAAACCGCATTACATAGCGATGTCCATAGAATCTAGCCATAAATGTAGATTTCCTGGTCCATCTTAATTTAAAGATAAGAAAATTATTGAATTTATGAGAAACAATGTTGGCTAGAAGTCAAGGGATCGTAATGATTCTGTTCATATGTTAAATGTATCTTACTTTTCAAGCTCATCAATGTTGCGATTCCAATATGTTTCATCAGGAATGAAAAGAACCTGTTTTATGCATTTAAATGGTATTTTTGTGATTGATGCCAACTGTTGGAATTAGAAGTCAATATAAGAATTTATTTATCTTAACATAGAAGTTTAGCTTACCTGTCTCTTTACTTGAACATCAGGGTGAAAATCGTCATCAAGCCAATCAATTACAATATCATAAGTGGCATCACCCAATATCTTCATTTTTATTGTCACTGGTGTTGGAATACGAATAACAAAAAGTTAAAACAAATCAAACTTGAAGGACTAAATTTAATAATTACCGGTATCACTCTCATCATGATTATGAGCCATTTTGCAAGTTGAAACTCTAAATTAATCACTCAACCTAAGGGTCTACAAATTTTCACCGAAAAATGTAAGTTGCAAGATGGTCGTAAAAGTGACTGCAAAAACATGGAACTGGTTCTGTATCATTTAGCCGGAAACTCAATGGAAAAAGGCTTTGAAATGGTTCCGGTCAAGTTTTGTGACAATGTTTTCCACATTTTTTTTCCTAACTAAACTAACTTTACTAACATACAAAATCTGTTTCAAAATTTCAAAATTTGTTTTGAAAAATTTATGAGGTACATGAATGAAATCATTTTTAATTGTGTGTTTCTCAAGAATACAGATTTAATTTTATACAAAAAATGTAGCTTAGTATTAAAATCAGAAGGGAAATAAGTATGTTTGATATTGGTTCTGTAGCTCATAGGGAAAGAGGATAATTGGGTTAAGGAATCATTTGCTTAAATATTGTTGATAGACAATAGCACAAAGCACCATTGTAACAGTGATGGGAATGAAACTAAATTTAGCCCCTTTATCGAGTATAGCAAAGATAAGACTAATTAAGGCACTATGCTCCTTCCTTTTGGTAACGATTGATCGGGGTTTAATTTTTTGTAATGACCTAAGCTTATCTGGTGGATATTTAGCAAATAGTTCCTTTGCTTGGATAATCAGCTCTTCAATGGGTAGGTCTTCTTCTCTTTCTAATATACTACAGAGGTATTGATGAACCACGGCCATTTCACAGTCAAGCTTTAAAATATCATCTTTTTTATAAAGTACAATTGTGGTTGAGAGATAAATTGGTAACATGGGATCATCGGCAAGAAACAAGTCGAAAAGTCTTCCAACTGTCTTGTAATCACGAAAAATGTGACTAAACCAGGTAATAACCCAACTTAAAGCAAATATAGTACCAACGCCAGATTTGTACATAAAATCACCCAACTGACCATCTTCCTCATCGACCATAATCAAAATGAATTCCATTAAATCAGCCGTGGTTTCCATTGTTTTTTCCATATGCTGTTTCAAATGAGTCCGAGAGATGGAATCAACAACATGGAAAGCCATCTCTTCACCAAGTATCAACAGGAATGTGACGCAGATATCGTGATAACCTTGGTAATAATAGAGACTGGGGTTTTTAATAAGAACCCTCATTATTAACTGGATTAATTGCTGCTGCATGGAAAGCCTTTGAGTTTCTTCGATACTGGGTGGAAATCTTTTCAATGAACGATTTACATCCATAACCACTTGAGTATAGAATGGATGTGTTTCCATTTCTCGGTTATCAGGTCGAGGAATTGTTTCAATCATATCAGCTTTAACCAATTTAGGCCAAACGAGTAATCGCAAGGAATCATTTAATAAGCCAAATTTTTGTCGAGCTGCAAGGAAATCATGTATGAACATATGATTAGAGAGAAAAATATAACATTTATAGGAATACAAATAGTAGGAAAAAGATGACAATCATTTTCCTGCATTCTTAAGTTCAAATAAACCAACCTAATTTTTTGAGACCGTCGATATCAGAGTTAAGCAGGCATCGAATTATTGAGCCAATCTTGGGCTGCTCATCGAGAGGACTTTTCCTTCGTGATTTACCAGAATTTGATTGATTGTCGAATTCTTTATCACAAAATATCCACAGCTCTTTACCACTAATATCACTACTGGTTAGACTTTGTATATCAGCAATGGTTTCCTCATTGTCACCATCGCCACCATCATAACACAAATTACTGGGTAGGGACTCAAATTTTTGTAATAATGATTGAGCTAAATTGTTATTAGCAAGAGAAGAATCATTCTCTTCATCACCAAGATCCTCAAAAGAGGTTGACGAGGAACACATATCAGTCATGTTTACAATGGCAACTAGTAAAGACAAAGAGCTTCTGGATGTTATTCACTACAGCAGGAGTAGTAATTTTAGTAACAATGAGGAAAAAACAGATTCTAGTAAATCATCAACTACAATGTAGATATAAATGATCGATAGTTAATCTAAAAAGAGAAAAATAAACAAACTTAAAATGATTAAAATGAAAGTAAAGGGTTGAAGAAAGCTTAAGAAAAACAATATCAAAAACAAGTTTGACTTCAATATGATTGTTATTGTTAGAGCTGTTGTAGAGCTGGTGGTTACCATTGCTTGACAACCACCAAAGGTCACCAAACCATACGTCATAATTTCAATTTTAAGACGCAAATTAAATTTAAAACAATTATTTCAAGCTCATTAATTTTAGGTTTGATTATTGTCAATTTTTTCAAATGACAAATAAATGTAATAACTCCTATAGAACAATCCAAAGTCACCATTTTGCTGGGTAAAAGCAAATTTCATGCACAATATTTTGACATATTTTGATAATTCAATAATAAGGAATAAATTGAATAGTCTACTTACATGACAATTTAGAGTAATCCTCAGTGTTTTATCCAAATTCCATGGAAGTTGTTGAATTGTTTTAGACAAATAATATAAGAAACTAAACAATAACAGCTCACAAAAGATTAGGGATATGAGAAGTGTAAACAGTCAAACTGACATGTGAGTGAGCATTTGATGACTAATATTTTTATTATTGTATTTACTGTACTTGCAACCATGCCATAAAAATAACTGTTATCAAGTTTTAATCAGGGCTGCAAGCGAACCGTTAATCGCCGTAATCAATGTAATTTAGAATTTGAAAATTTAGAAAAGTCTTATTTAATTTTGGATTTTTTTGGTCAAGAAAAGGATAAATTACAAATGCAATAAACATGTAAATGGAAAGTTAAATTTCAAATTTAGTACAATTTGTGACAATAATCTTTATATAAATGCAGAATAATGTGTAAGTTAATGCAATGGACAGCAATTAATGAAGTTAATAATTTAAAAAATGAAAAACTAATAAACTGCTTAAGGACGATTCCATGAATGTAACGGAAGATTCTGAGATGGAGATCTATTGAATTAGTTGATTTCTCCCATGGATTTGATTTGTGCTTCATTTTCCATGTATGACAAGACTAGCAGCAATTTTTACCGAAGAGAATGCGAATCTTTTATGGTAAAATTAGTCAAGACTGTGATTGACAACAATCGTATCCAAAGTTAATTTAAAGTCGATCTTGTACAAGTTGATTTGTCCGTCAATACACAACCAATTAGAATGGAAAGGGATTCATCAATTATTATATAAATATTAGATTAAAGTAAATTTAGTGATGAAGAAAGTCCATCCGAGTAAGAGTTATCCAGGAAGATATTAGTAAGGTGGTTCATACTAGGCACTGTGAAATTTAGTCATGAAATTAACAGAAGGCAACCATGATGGAAAATTAAATAATGAAATTTGAAAATATTTCATTTCTTTTTACTTTGTGCTGCATAATTCGAACAATTGGATTGATCACAAGAAATAAATTGTAATCAGATGATGATCGGTTGCTGTTTGTTTGGTTACTGACAGATCGGGGCAATAATCAAAGTTGACAGGATTCTCCAAGAGATCAGGTAAGATTATTTGTTACATTAAACTAGAAAAGTTTCATCAGTTAGTTGCATTTGTTGTTCAATTTTGAGCAATTCAAATTTATCATTTGATTTTCACTCGAAACTTAAGTAGCCCTCAGCTCCGGTGAAAATTACGTCGATCCAGATCCGCATCACTTCAGGAACAAAGGTAGAAAGTGTGAAATTCCGTTCCGATGTAACCACTGCAAAAACGTATCTTGTTGAGTTACTGCGTCTTCTCAGGCTTCCACCTAAAGGGTTACTTTTTTTCTCTAATTTAGTTCGGTTATGATCAACATAGGCATCTTCAATTTGGTTGAAATAAACACCATATTTTGCCTTCTTTGCTTTTGCAAAACTTTTAAATGACTTGAAATATAAGAAAACTTTGTTTTGACGATCAAACAGAAAATATCTTTTCCTCCATTGATTCTCTGTATTTGAACAAAGTTTCCAAAGGTATCCGGAGCATGAGGTGGGCGTTAATCGGACCAGATGGGCAAATGAATCAACATCATGTCCTAAATTAACGATATGATCAATCAAATCTAGATCATAAGAAGTTGAGGGAAGATAAATTGTTAATGGACGTTGTTGCCTTTCTTTCAAATCTTCTGATCCATTTTCTCTGTTTCCGCGTCTAAGGCGCAATGGATTTACGGTGCTTTCATTGGCGCCAATTTTATTTTCACCATCTATCTCATTTTTAGATGAATCGAGAGATTCACTATTGGTTTCGTTGCTATAGATGGATGAATAAGTGTGATGATTGTTTAAATTTTGATGTTTATGAAGAATTAGTGAATAATCAGCCGATTTAACTTTGTCACCAAATGATGCATCATCATCTGAAGAAGTAGATTCATCCGATTCACAGGAAGCAAGAGGAGCTTCTTTACTATCCTTAACGGCTCCTAGACAGACATTGTCAAGCTGTAATGGTTGATTTAAAGAAGCTTGTTGCTGTTGTTTGATAGCAATGATTTCTTTCTCGATGGTTTCCAAACACTTGTACAATTCGTTTAACTTAATTTCTTTTTCGATCCTTTGAAACTCTTTAAGTTCCTCGTCCTCGGCATCACTAAACTGTTGGTGTTTCATATCATCAATTTCACCACGTATGAGACTCTCTTCAATTGATAAAGCAGTTAATTTGGCACAACCAGCATCATTGTCATCAGTTGAACCGTTAGCATGTACATTCTCACCACCTGTAATAAACTCATTGTCATTTTCCAATTGCTCATAATCACCAGATTCAGTATAATGACATTTCCTTTCATTGCTAGATATTGAATTGTCCTGGCTTGGAATTACTTTAGACATTTCTTCAACAGCTGTATGACCCAAACCAATAGGATTAATATCATTGGGTGTTTCCATTGATGATACCAGTCTGTTATTATCAACAGTTGTTGATTGAACAACATCGGGGTTTTTCATTAACTCCAATAAACGGTCCACCTCATTAACTCTTAAACTCCTGACTCTTTTACCTTCCTGGGAATCATTGTAGCTCTGACACAATCTTATTATTTCCTGGAGTCGATCTTCTTCTAATTTTCTTATTTCCTCATCTTCAAATCGCTCCAAACGACATCGTAATAATTGATCTTCTGTGGACGCTATGGGTGACGATGTTGAATTCATTAAATTTGGTTCTCTGGGCACCTGATGATCAGCAACACCTTCATCAACCGGTTCACCGTATTCACCTAAACCAATCTCCATTCTGATAGAATCAGACAAGATTGTCAAACTAAAACATCACAGAATGATAAAAGGACACTAAATATAACAAATTCACTAATTATTAATTAATGGAAGTTAGTGAGAAACCTAAAAGTTGCCAATGTGTGAAGAAATAAATCATTCAGAGTTTAAAATAAAGTAAAAAAAGGCAGACTGATAGGAGTGCACCAGCCTTACTGCATTACAGGCCTTGAGGCTTCAACTTCAGCTGGGACTTTATCCTAATTTACAATGAACCATTTATGTTGCTTGTTTTGAATTGCTTTCATTCAACTTGCACTTACTAATAAAACTTCAAAGTAATTTTTGATGTCAAATTTTTTAACTCAAAAATTAGGAAGTGCATCATTTAGAGTTTGAATTGTCAAAATGGCTCAGAATCATGATGGAAGTGATAAAGGTGACATTACATATTATATATTGTATATTTAATACTTATAGTTTTATTTGTTTTAACTTTTTTTGTATTCCAACACCAGTGACAATAAAAATGAAGATATTGGGTGATGCCACTTATGACATTGTAATTGATTGGCTTGATGACGATTGTCACCCTGATGTTCAAGTAAAGAGACAGGTAAGCTAAACTCATATGTTAAGATATACAAATTCTTATATTGGTTTCTTATTCCAACAGTTGGCATCAATCACACAAACACCATTTGTATACATAAGATCGGTTCTTTTCTTCCTCGATGAGTTGGATCTAAGAGCCAGTACTCGTCCTGAGTAAGAAACATTCATTTATGTAACAGATTCATTTGTCTACTTTGCATAAATTAATTTAATAATTTTCTTATCTTTCAAGTTGGACAAGGAAATCTTCATTCATGAATCGATTTATTGGACAGCAATACGTACTGAAGTTTAGATTCCATATTGGAACAAATAATGACAGTTTGTATGGTCGTTTGTTGTACCAACCTGATTATTTTATTCGTTATGAGCTTGTAGCTGAACACCTAGTTGATGAAAATGAATGTACCATCAACTTTTGTCCATTCATTTACAATATTTCCAATTTAAAGCAAAGTGCAAAATTGGCAAATAATAATGAATTGAAAGCAAAATTGGTCCAGGAATGGATTGGTTTTAGAATAAATCAGAATTTTGGTAGACATATTATCCTTTCGACTTTAAGACGACATAATGTGCTAAATATTTTATACAAATTAACTTGCAAATTGGAACAAGATCACTTAATTCATGGAGGGCCTTATTTGCGAACTAATGGGTAGTTCAGATTGTAAATGAAAAATCATTTGAATGAATGATATTGATAAAGAAATTAATAAATGGTGGAAACTCAATAAAGTAACTTTTTCTGCGTCAATTACCGAACCAGTTATAACAATTTTACTGCATATAACTAATGGATTCAGTTTCTTTGCCTCTAAAAACCCACAAAGTCCTAACTCTCAAGTGATTGACACTCTTTCAAGCTTTTTAGCTGAAATGAAGTTGATCTGTCCTGAGTTTAGCTCTTTTGGGACTTTACCCATTACAGAAAGGTTTTTGCGTCGGATAATTCGAGAAACAGACCAGATTCTGGTACAACCAAATCAATTTAAAATAACCAATAAAGATGATTATAATTGTAATTAGTCAATTTACGGACATGTCTCGATTCTTCGAAGTCAAAATAAAAAATAGCGCTTCATTACCAAATTAATTTGATCATCAACAAAAAACAAACAATTACTTCAAATCATATCCAAAAAAGTTTCAATTTTCAATGTTTCAATAATGAACTTTGCTTGAATTGATTTTCAGGTTATGCTAGTAGCTAGGAAAACATATGTTGGAAACATTGTCACAAAATTTGACCGGAACCATTTCGGAGTTTTTGTTCATTGAGTTTCCGGTTAATGATACAGAACCAGTTCCATGTTTTTGTAGCCACTTTTGCAACTTACATTTTTTGGTGAAAATCAGTAAATCTTCAGGTTGAGTGATTAATTTAGAGTTTAAAAATGACTCATAATCAAAATGAGCGTGATACAGGTAATTATTTTATCCTTCAACTTTGATTTGTTTTTAACTATTTTTATTTGTATTCCAACACCCAGTGACAATAAAAATGAAAATATTGGGTGATGCCACTTATGATATTGTAATTGATTGGCTTGATGACGATTGTCACCCTGATGTTCAAGTAAAGAGACAGGTATGTAACAAACTCATATGTTAAGATATACAAATTCTTATATTGCTTTCTTATCCCAACAGTTGGCATCAATCACAAAAATACCATTTAAATGCATAAAACCGGTTCTTTTCGTTCCTGATGAAACATATTGGAATCGCGACATTCGTGAGCTTCGTAAAAAGTAAGATACATTCAACATGTGATAAGAATCAATACACTCTCTTAACTTTTAACGAACATTGTTTTTCACAAGTTTAAATTTTCTTATCTTTAAATTAAGATGGACCAGGAAATCTACATTTATGGCTATCCACTGTAGACATCGCTATGTGTTGAAGTTTTATCTCGATTTTGAAGGCGATTTCTATTTCCGATTTATGTTGCTGGGTGAAAACCTTGTTGATGAAAATGAATGTACTCGTAGCCTTTGTCCATTCAGACACAGTATTACCTGTTTAAAGTCTGGGATAAAATTAGTTAATAATACTGAATTGATGGCGAAATTGAAACAGGAATGGCTGCCAATCTACCAGCAAAGTGGGTACCATTTCGACAATCAAATAGTGAACGCGTTTTTACGAAAACACAACGTGCTGCATTTTACAAATCAAAGTTGCAGATTACATGAAATGGACGATCGCATGGAAGATGAACCTTATTTGCGAACTCATGGTTAATTTAATTGAAAAGCCAATGAAATGAATGGTGTTGATCAAATAATTTAATGAATCATTGAAACTCTATAAAGAAACTGAGCATTACAGATTGGCCTTACATCCAAATGACCATTATTCCGACAGTTGGCATCAATCACACTAACACCATTTGTATTCATAAAACCAGTTCTTTTCGTTCCTAATGAAACATATTGAAATCGCAACTTTGCTGTTGCTGAAAAGTAAGATACATTCAACAAATGAAAAGAATCAATACGATCATTAAACTTCTAGCCAACATTATTTTTCATAAATTTAATAATTTTCTTATCTTTGAAATAAGATGAACCAGGAAACTTACAATCATGGCTATCCACTATAGACATCGCTATGCATTGAAGTTTTATCAATCTAGTTTTATCATTCTATCAATTTAGAGAAAAAATTAACCCTACAGGTTGAGGACGAAGCAATGGCATTTATGGTTGTGCTACCATTGTGGTACGAAATATCACACTTCGTAGTTTTGTGAATCAATGTTAGCATCATTGTAAGCGCTGAAATTATTGAGATTTAATTTAAAATAGTATCTAATCTATTTGTTAATTATTAATTATAAATTTTTAATTTCAAAATAACTGCTTCTTTAAGAGGGTTTTTGGCTGTAAAAAATGCCAATGTTGTCTCCCCAGGACTGACCTGAAATTCAAGATAGATTACATCAATTGATTAAAATAGAAAAGACAAATAAAAGCACAAAATAAATGGATAAATTGTCAAAAACAATCAAGATACCTCAATTGACTGTTGAATCGGTTTAAATTCCCATTGAAGATCATTGGTGGCATCAGCAACAAATGATACCCTCAGTCTACGACTTTTGTCAATCTTCATCTTCTCAACTTGATCAACAGTCGATCCAACGAACCCTTGTTGACCAGCCTGACCAGTAGTTTGACAATATATTCGATATAAAGGGACAGAAGCGAAAGTTAATCCAAGAAAACCGATTGCAGCAGCAGCTGAATACCTCGCAACATCTTTACCCTTCGTTACTTTCCAACCAGTTGATGCGTAAAATCTTGACTGTAGAGCTTTAAAAATAATCGGATTCTATAAAGATTGAAACGATTAGAGTATGATCTATTTTAAATTCTGAACGAAAGGTCCAATTGATCCTCTGTCCAATTCGATTGACCAAGTCAAAATAAAGAATAAATAAAGTCATTACCAAATTAATTTGATCATCAACAAAAGCAAACAATTACTTCAAATCATATCCACAAAAGTTTGCATTTTCAATGTTTCAATAATGAACTTTGCTTGAATTGATTTTCAGGTTATGTTAGTAGCTAGGAAAACATATGTTGGAAACATTGTAAAAAAACTTGACCGGAACCATTTCGGAGTTTTTGTTCATTGAGTTTCCGGTTAAATGATACAGAACCAGTTCCATGTTTTTGTAGCCACTTTTGCAACTTACATTTTTTGGTGAAAATCAGTAAATCTTTAGGTTGAGTGATTAATTTAGAGTTTAAAAATGACTCATAATCAAAATGAGAGTGATACAGGTAATTATTTCATCCTTCAAGTTTGATTTGTTTTAACTTATTGTTATTTGTATTCCAACACCAGTGACAATAAAAATGAGAATAGTTGGTGATGCCACTTATGATATTGTAATCGATTGGCTTGATGACGATTGTCACCCTGATGTTCAATTAAAGAGACAGGTATGTAACAAACTAATATGTTAAGGTAATTTCATTCTTATATTGATTTCTTATCCCAACAGCTGGCATCAATCACAAAAATACCATTTAAATGCGTAAAACCGGTTCTTTTCGTTCCTGATGAAACATATTGGGGTCGCGACATTCGTGAGCTTCGTAAAAAGTAAGATATTACATTCAACATATGCACAGAACCAATACGGTCCCTAAACTTTTAGCCAACATAATTTTTCACAAATTTAATGATTTTCTTATCTTTAATTTAAGATGGACCAGGAAATCTACATTCATGGCTATCCACTGTAGACATCGCTATGTGTTGAAGTTTTATCTCGATTTTGAAGGCGATAATTTCTATTTCCGATTTATGTTGCTGGGTGAACACCTTGTGGATGAAAATGAATGTACTGGCAGCTTTTGTCAATTCATACACAGTTTTACCTGTTTAAAGTCATGGGTCAAATTAGTTAATAATACTGAATTGATTGCGAAATTGAAACAGGAATGGGCGCCAAGCCACCACCGTGATTACTTTTACATTGCCAACCGTGAAAGACGGACCTCGTTTTTACGAAAACACAACGTGCTGCACTTTACAAATAAAGTTTGCAGATTACATGAAATGGACGATCGCATGGAAGATGAACCTTATTTGCGAACTCATGGTTAATTTAATTGAAGAGCCAATGAAAAGATGATATCGATCAAATAATTTAATGAATCATTGAAACTCAATAAAGAAACTTTTCTCGTAAATTATTGAAGCATTTATAACAATTTCATTGACATAAGTGACAAAAATGGATGAAAGTTAAATCAAAGCAAAAGCCTAACTTGAATTTATGCTCAAAAAATGTTAACATAAAATTAAATGCGTCTTTGTTCATCGTCCATGTCATTTGATCAACGCTTCAATCCAATGAACTTTTGTCGTTGGCCCATCTCGATGGAGCCAAATTGGTTAATCTGTTGAATTGCAAGTTAAATAACAATTAGTGATATTTAATGATACGACAATCTATTGATGAGTTGTTGACCAGATTCTCATCTAACCAATTTTCAGTCACTGTCTGCTCAAATAGACTCAGAATATAGAGCATTGTGATTTTAGTCAGTCTAATATTCACGGACTTAAATCAATCGAATCATATCCACAAAATGTTTTTCATGAATTTGCTTGGATGGGATATAAATTAAGTAATTGTAAGGAATGGAAGACGGTTGATAAAGACTTCGTGTGTTAGTAGCTAGGAAAACATATGTTGAAAACATTGTCACAAAAATTGACCGGAACCATTTCAAAGCTTTTGTTCACTGAGTTTCCGGTTAATGATACAGAACCAGTTCCATGTTTTTGCAGCCACTTTTGTAACTTACTTTCAACTTACATTTTTCGGTGAAAATTTGTAGACTTTTAGGTTGAGTGATTAATTTAGAGTTCAACTTGCAAAATGGCTCATAATCATGATGAGAAAGATACCGGTAATTATTAAATTTATTCCTTCAACTTTGATTTGTTTTAACTTATTGTTATTTGTATTCCAACACCAGTGACAATAAAAATGAAGATATTGGGTGATGCCACTTATGATATTGTAATTGATTGGCTTGATGACGATTGTCACCCTGATGTTCAAGTAAAGAGACAGGTAAGCTAAACTTATATGTTAAGATAATTTCATTCTTATATTGGTTTCTTATCCCAACAGTTGGCATCAATCACAAAAATACCATTTGAATGCATAAAACCGGTCTTTTTCGTGCCTGATGAAACATATTGGGGTCGCCCCGGTCATGAGGTTTCTGAAAAGTAAGATACATTCAATATATGGAAAGAAGCAATACGATCCGTAAACTTTTAGCCAACATTATTTTTCACTTTATTTTCTTATCTTTAAATTAAGATGGATCAGGAAATCTACATTCATGGCTATCCACTGTAGACATCGCTATGTATTGAAGTTTTATCTCCATTTTGAAGGCGATAATTTCAATTTCCGATTCATGTTGCTGGATGAACACCTTGTTGATGAAAATGAATGTACTATCAGCTTTTGTCCATTCAGACACAATATTACCTGTTTAAAGACAGCGGCCAAATTAGTTAATAATACTGAATTGATGGCGAAATTGAAACAGGAATGGCTGCCAATCTACCAGCAAAGTGGGTACCATTTCGACAATCAAATAGTGAACGCGTTTTTACGACAACACAACGTGCTGCATTTTGAAAGTCAACATTGCAGATTACATGAAATAGACGACCGCATGGAAGATGAACCTTATTTGCGAACTCATGGTTAATTTAATGCAAAAGCCAATGAAATGATGATATTGATCAAATATTTAATGAATCATTTAAACTCAATAAAGAAACTTTTCTCGTAAATTATTGAAGCATTTATAACAATTTCATTGACATAAGTGACAAAAATGGATGAAAGTTAAATCAAAGTCAAAGCCTAACTTGAATTTATAATCAAAAGATGTAACATAAAATTAAATGCGTCTTTGTTCATCGTCCATGTCATTTGATCAACGCTTCAATCCAATGAACTTTTGTCGTTGGCCCATCTCGATGGAACCAAATTGGTTAATCTGTTGAATTGCAAGTTAAATAACAATTAGTGATATTTGATTAGAGAAATGTTAATGAACAAAATCGTTACCTACGCGACTTTGAAGGATTTCCCAGGATCTCGCTTCTTCCATCAATTTTTGTGTCATCCGTAAATAGTTTAACCACTCGTTGATTGCCAAAGGTTCATCAATTGATAAAGATGATGATGATAATAATGATGATGAAGCAGGATAAGATGAGGAGGATGAAGAGGGTGGAGAGGCTGAAGAAGAGTCATCCATTGCCAGAGAAGAAGGTAAATTTGGATAATTTGGGATTGAAAGTGATCTTTTCTTACCACACCAGATTCTCGTTTAACCAAATTTGCAGTCAATGTCAGCTCAATTAGACTCAAAATAAAGATCATTGTGATCGTTTAACCAAATTTGCAGTCAATGTCAGCTCAATTAGACTCAAAATAAAGATCATTGTGATTGTAATTAGTCTTGTAATAAAATAAGATAAACATTAGACGAATTTAGGTAAACATTAGACTTATCAACATTATAATTTTGTCATAATAATTCAATTATCATTCAATATCATGAAACTCAATTCACTCTTAACCCACACCTTCACAGATAGATTATTAGATCAAACACACACCTTCACTGGGAGGAAACGTTAAGGTTAACCTAAAATTGTTAAACCTACTGAACAGTTGACTGTTAATCAGCTCTAAGGTGTGGTGCTTCCAATGGATGATTAATTTATAACTGAATAAACCAAAAACTAGGAAAAATATTGTCCAGTAATGAAAAAAAGGTCAACATCTACTTGTTGTGATTAGCAATCGATAAATGAAACATTTTCAGCTCAGTTTTTAATTTAACCAGAAATTATGTTTTACCCATTTTGGGTAACCTCAAGCTATCCAATAAGACCTAAATCTTGTCCAATAATCACATCGGTTTTATCAAGCTTTGTGAACACAATTAGGTGAGACTCATGTTTAATTACAATATAATTTACTCATAAACCAATCTGAATGTCTTTTTAATTCAATTAAATGGATAAACTGATCTAGAAGACAAAAAATGGTCAATCATTATTGACTATCGGGCAACTTTCAACACTTGAAAGGTTAAACGGAGTAAAGAGTTGACTTTAAGTGCAATAAGAGCTACTAATCAATGGGTTTGTTTAATTTAATAAAGTAAATTGATCGACACATTTCATTGAATGCAGTAAGAAATAACTGCATCCAATGTAATTTGATATTAAATTTTTGCCTGATATATCAACATTTATCATTATTTCTGTTGATATTTTGAAATATCAATAGTTGAATAGATGAAAGCAAAATATTGCATTTATCAATGTTGTTCACATTTGTCAAAGCTCAAGGAAACAATTCAATTTTCATTGGAAATTTTTTAAATTGTTGCATTCATTTAGGCCTTTCAATAATACTTATTGCTATTCAATTGATAATTTCAAATGCATGGATTTTTGTTGAACACACAGCAAGAGATGAAAAATTGAGACTTTTTGTGCGACTCAATAAATATGTAACTTGGATTGATAAATTGATAACTTCAATGAATAAAATCAATATTCATTGATGGTAAATATTGTCCTTTATAAACAGATATCAAAGTAAATTGAAATTGTTCCGAATCAATATTTCTATTCAGATATTATCAATTGGAAAAGTTAAATATCAGTTAATTAATGAATAAGAAATCAGCATTTCCAAGATTCTAGTCAACTCTTCATTTCCTTGTCAATCGTCATTCCGATTGTGAGTCAATTAAACTTGGTTTGTCCTCATAAAGATTCTGGTTGACCTTTCTGTTTTCTTGGTTTTCTGGTTAACTTTGGTTGTTGATTCAGCTGACAATTGTAAGTAAAATGATTTTTACTCTTGAAGCATCTTCTTGGAAATTCATGTTTTCCAGTTTCTGATAAAATCGGGTTGAACCGTTAAGATTGTCATCGAAGTCAATCAACTTGGTTTAAAATTTAAAGTGTTTGACAATTGATCAAGTTGATGATCGAGTTAGGATAAAACCCGTTTCAATGTAAATTGTTATTCAAATGTAAATTGTTGTGTTTGCAATTGTTAATTTGTTTATTGTAACCATGTTCAAGTAAATATCGATATTTCCATTGAGCAATTTGTTTATTTTATTCCTATCAAATTGATATTCACTCCTCTCAATACAATATCACTTCAACAATGATATCAACTGTTAACACTTGAATAATGAATGGCGTCAACTGATTGTTGTTGACCAAACTTGATTCACACATTAGACGCTCTTTAATTGTTCAACCATTGTTGTTATTATGCTTATTATTGTGACTTTTCCTCCCAAAGTTAATATCAGGGAATTCACAAAAAGTGTGAAAACAATAATCAAAATCAGTGAAAGGTTATAAGAAAGCAGCAAAAGGTTTGAATGTGAAACCTTTGCAATTGTGATCAACAACTGATTATTACAATAGAAATCACAATTTCATTTCTTCCCAGACAACAATATCATCTTACAATCCAACAATCAACAAAAACAATTGTTTATTAACCTATGTTTACTTGACTTTTCATAGTCAACCTTTTTTAATGACCAGATTTTAGATTGTAATATAATCACAATTATTTTGGATAATCTGTTTTAATGGTTTAACCATTTATTTGCAACACAAAATTTACAATAAAAACAGTTTACAGTTTAATTTATTGACGGAAAAGATATTAATTGTGATTATAATTATAAATGATGGTTTAAAATTTGGGTTAAAATGTTGGGTTGAAATAATGAAACAAATGGAAACATTTCAAGAGCAAATTTGTCAACACTTTTTGTTGCCCACTTTTAAGGATTACAGTCACTTATTATGATTATATTTCAATCATAAATCAGGTTAAATGGTAATTTTAAATCAAATTTGTTTAATAACAATTACAATTTACATAATAAAGTGATAAACAGTTACAAAATTAAACCAAGTCTAGCGAAAGGCACGGAATCTAATCAATTCAATGGTGATCTTAGAGTTAAAATATAACTCTTCTGGTGCATTAATGTTACCATGTTAATAAACAATTTAAAATCAAGTCTCAACTGTTTTACACTCAAGTTGAACCTCTTTTAATTAATTAGTTACACTGCTTTAATGAACTGATATCAAGCTTTGATTGTTCAACTAAATTTATGATCAAGATTGATTGTTAGTCAGGGTTGGGTTTGCACGGAGGCCTAGCAATTGCTAGAGGGTTGAGAGTTGAGGGTTGACAAGGGTTTGAAACAGACTACTTACTTGAATCAAGTTAATTGTCAGTGTCGATTCCAGGTTGTCCGGGTTGATCAAGAGATTGAATGAAAGTATTGAAAGTAAATTGGATTGAATTGTTGAGGAATAATGTGTGTTGAATTGAAAAAGTTGTTGTTTACTTGTGTTACACTTGTTGAAACTATCTATGAGAAGATTGAATTAAAGTCAACTTTCTTTATATACATTGATATAAATGTGAGTCTGAGGATGAAGGAGGAGGAAGAAGGAGGAAGATAAAGATGAAGATGGAGGAAGAAAGGTGATAATATTTTGACTTACTCCAAATAGATTCAACTTTATCAACATTTGTTACCATAAGTTGTTACTGTTTTTTGCTTAGGCATGACAAGTAAATGCACTTGACTGGCCAACTTTGTATTGTCAATGGTTTTTGTTTGACTTACTTCCGATCATTATTGCTTTAATCATCATCTTCATCATTTTCATCAACAATTGTTTACCATTTACGGACATTGTGGGTATAAAACGGATCAAGATCAGCATTATATTCAATCTGGTTAACTCTGGTAAAGGGACTTTTTTAAAATTATATTTCCATTTCAACCAGAAACCCATTTTTAACCCATTTAGTATCAAAGGCTCAAAATTGGTTTAACGACTTCATATCTAGGCCTAATCAACAATCAAAGCTTTTATTTTAAGGGTTCAATAGATTACTTTGACACCAACATTTGACTTTGTGTCGATGATCATTAAACATGTTGATCAAGGAAACCTGTTGGAAGAAATGTTCTGTTCCTGATATCCTGTTGAGGATTATTGTTGAGTGTTTTTGTCCAGGAATAACTTTGATTCATTTTTCTTGTTGCAATTTGTTTCTTCATATTATTTAGTTTCACTGTTTCAGACATTTCAATTTCAATTCCTTGGGAAGTCCAAGGAAGTCTAATGAAGAGAAAATTTGATTTCATTCCAAGTTTGAAAGCATTTTAATAAACATTTGTAGCTTTTGTTTCAATATTACATGGTGTTGATGAATGTTTCCCAATGTAGAAGGGTTTTGCTTATAAAATTTGTACCATTGTACCAAGGCTTTTGTAAATTTAATCACGAGTAATCAGCTCATTTAACGGTATTCATCTCTACATAAGTTCCTGTTGGTTGAGAAAAAAAAGAAAAGAAAAGAAATTTTAAAATAAATGTTCATCATGATGCTTGGTAGTTAGTAATATGAGCGAGTATTAACTTGTGTTAATGATTGTTATTGGGATCGGTTAATGAACTTTTCACTTTGCTCCTCACTTTCAACATCAAAATTTTGAGCCGGCCAATGAAGGCTGATACAGATTACATAAATCCAGGATCCGATGATTCCTCCAATATGAGGAGCAACCAGTGGAAGCCAAAAGTAATTGTAACCACGAAGGCTGGTAAGAAATGAAATTAAATATCAATCACAAGTTGATTTACACAAATCAAGACCAAGGTTGGTAAAAAATCATGAGTTTAAATAACATTAGCTATGGATGCATGATGCATGAACAATTATTACAACAGGTAAAGTAATAATTGAGGCTTGAGTATTGGGACACTTAATACTGTGAGAAAGTATAAGGACACTTCATTTTTCTATGTTAATTGTTTCCAAATTGGGTTCAATTTTCATTGGCAATCAACTTACGAAAAAACTTCACCTCCATAGCCGACCAGTGAGGAAAAGAGTCTCGGACCAAAGTCTCGTGCTGGATTGATTGGAGCTCCACAGTTGAATCCAAAGGCAAAAATCATTAGAGACAAGTCAGCGATACCAATTGCAATTGGAATTAAACCTTTAGGACAACCCATATTTCTTTCATCGGTAATTGCTTGGATGATTAAAAGAAATAGAGAAACGCAGATGACCTGTTGGCGGTGAGAAAATGTATGAATTACCGAATTGCCAATGATTAGAAATTATCAGAATTCATTCTTCAGTTTGACTTAAAAAATACTGGCATATTGAATGTTGAGAAGTTGGGTGATAAAGTTAAAGCATTGAAATAGATCGCGATTGACTTGCGAGACTGTTAAAGTTTTATCATTTGTGTGTAACTAAATTACGGAAAGATTCGGGTTACCTGATCCAGGAAACATGTTCCTACAGAGACTTCTGATTGAGGGAAAGTACCAAAGATACTTGCTGTTGCATTTGCACCCTCAGTTTGTAAGTCGACACCAAAGTTAGATGTAATTGCTTCGATGTAGACAAAATAAGTAGCCATTGCACCGAAAAAAGCTCCAATATATTGAGCCGCAAAATAATGAGGAACCTTTAGCCATGATAATTTACCGATTGCGGCCATACCTAATGTAACTGCTGGATTAACATGACCTCCTAAGTTAACAATGAGACAAGTTAATAGCTATTCTTCATAGAGTAACTTCAAAAAGGTTTCTAAAACACACAATCAACACAATTGTTGCATTTATGCACAAATTTACACAAACACTGAAAGAGAAATGTGCTAAAACGGGTGAAAATTCGTTTCATTCAAATTTAAACGCTGTTGGTTTGTAGAGAAATGAAAACTGTGTCCATTTGTGTGGTTTAAAAATTTATGTCATCGATAGTTCACGAAGAAATTGAGGTCAAAGTTGAAACTTTGAGCGCCTTTTATTCAATTGTGGAACTAGATTTTTTCGTAAAACTAATTGCACTGATACAACTTTTGATGAGGAACCTGAAAATGCACTTATTTTGAGATCTAACATTTTCTGTTTCCGTAAAACGGGTTAAGTTCGATTTTCTTTGAAACTTGTCGCATTCTGTGACAATAAGAGTTAGAGAGCTGAAATTCAATATTCGTCCATAAAAATTGATGGTAAACATCAAGAATTGAATAATTTTTTCCAGTTATCAACAGCTCTCTTGATATCGGCCATCGGTCGCAAAACTTTTAGCCTCAATATTCCAAGAATGCCATTACCTACAATCGTTATTCTTTGTCAAAACATTAGACTGCAGCATGGACTATAATATATTGAAGTATCAAACTATTAAAGATTCTATGAAAAAACTTATAGAATTGTATTACATGTGTTACCAGATTTTAAACTTCATTTGTAAAGTTACTAAACAAAAATCTTAAGCGTCTTAATCTTCATTATTAAATGAACCAGATCAGGTTTTATCCGTTATTTAGTTATATTTTATTATAGCCCCTAATGCAATCTGGTGTTTGGTCAATGAATGACGGTTGTAAGTGATGCCATTCACGGAATATTCAGGCTAAAAGTTTCGCCGACTTATGTCCAATAGCAAGAGAACGGTTGATAACTGGAAAAAATTATTCAGTCCTTGATGTTTACCATCTAATTTTATGGATGAATATTGAGTTTCAGCTCTCTAACTCTTATTGTCACAGAATGCGACACGTTTAAAAGAAAATCGAACTTAACCCGTTTTACGGAAACAGAAAATGTTAGATCTCAAAATAAATGCATTTTCTTGTTTCGCATCAAAAGTTACATCGTCAAAATGAGTTTCATGAATAAAGATGCTCTCATAGCTAAGCAATTGGCGATCGAAGTTGTAACTTTGACCTCGATTTTCTCAAAAACTGTTTATCGAATGAATTATTTAATAGCCTCAATGGGTGTAGTTTTATGTGTCCCTAAAAACCCACCTAGTCTCAACTCTTAACTCAAATGTTTGAGCCTTTGACCGAACTTTTTGCATTGCATTTGCAATCTTAACCAGAAAGTTGGTTTATTTACCAAGAAATGGGTTTAGATGAGTTAAGTTTGCTGAATTAGTTATTTCTCGTGCATTTATTACCCAAATATCATAAACCAAATGGGTCAATGGCAAGTAATCAAATTGCATTGAATTCCTAATTAGTAAATAATTAAATTGGTGAAAGAATTATGATTGTAAGTTATGCCATTCTCTAAATATCGAAACTCAAAGTTTTAAGGTAAATGGCCAAAATCAAGAGAAGTACTAATAAATTGATGAAAATACTCAATCCATGGTATGAACCATCAAATTTTATGGTCGAATACTGAGTTTCAGCTCTCTAACTCTTATTGTCACAGAATGCGACACGTTTAAAAGAAAATCGAACTTAACCCGTTTTACGGAAACAGAAAATGTTAGATCTCAAAATAAATGCATTTTCTTGTTTCGCATCAAAAGTTACATCGTCAAAATGAGTTTCATGAATAAAGATGCTCTCATAGCTAAGCAATTGGCGATCGAAGTTGTAACTTTGACCTCGATTTTCTCAAAAACTGTTTATCGAATGAATTATTTAATAGCCTCAATGGGTGTAGTTTTATGTGTCCCTAAAAACCCACCTAGTCTCAACTCTTAACTCAAATGTTTGAGCCTTTGACCGAACTTTTTGCATTGCATTTGCAATCTTAACCAGAAAGTTGGTTTATTTACCAAGAAATGGGTTTAGATGAGTTAAGTTTGCTGAATTAGTTATTTCCTCCGTGCATTTATTACCC